CTATGATAAAGGTGATTATGTAGGGAAGGTATTTTTATGGTAAACCAGCATCTCCTATTTGATTATCAAGTCAGTCAAGCAAAAGTTAACCATAAGTTGTTCATGGTAAAGGAATGCTGAGAAGATGTAATAATCAAACCTCAATCTATTATTCAGTTACAAGTCCATGTCAGGGTAGGGTATAAAGCAGTCTTTAAAACTTTGAAAATTGTTCATAAAATTTTCTATTTTCAGAAGGAAGAACGCATCTTTCATTTGGGCAAGGTGTGTTTCGCAATAATTCATATTGTGTTTGTTGTGACACAAACGGTAATTATTATGTCACAGATATAGTAAGCCATACAATCTCTGTTCATGATATAAAAGGAAGAATAAGAAAAAGATTCGGATTCCAAGGTAAGGATAATAATGAGACTTATATAACTGTTATTTATGCCTTTTGCTCTAAAAAAGGCTATGATAGAAAACAACAGGGAGAGAGAGAGAAAGATTTCATTCGTCAAACCATAAACAATATATGCAAACATATATTGATAATAATAAAAAATAGATGCTTGGGTATATGACTGCGAGACAACGATACAATCTTTTGGGGTCATACCCGCATCCTGATATCTAACAATATGTAAATTACTACTATTATTTATCAAAACCAGAATCTTTCTGATTCGAAATTGCCTCCCCGTTTGTAACAGCCTGGGTGAGAGGGGAGTGTAATTTGAACCCAGATGTGTAATCTTCGGTGAGATAGAATTCTGCATAATGAAAGTTGAAACATCCACCTGGTGGTAAGGACATCAGACTTAGACTATTCTGTAGGTTAGATATGCTGGCTTTAATTATCATGGCCCGATGCCTCACCAATAATGTATTAGGCTAGGTAGGCAATGTTGTACTAAAAATATTCTAATACCTTTAACAAATAATAGTTACTGGTACCTAAAATTCAATAATTATCTGTTCAGAGCCGACGTAAAAACTATATTTTAACCAGCGCATATTTGCATAAAAGCAGAAACTCATTTCACGTGATAATAGATGGGAAACTGGAAATTTTCTTGTTTGTGTGAAGGAAATTTACTTTGTGTTTGCATGTAGTCTTACTAATACCCCAGTTATTTACTGTTATTGTAATACAAGTCTATTCACACATTATTGACTATCTAAACTGAGCTAGAATACGCTAAGGCAAAGGCATAGGTGCCAAGCAAGCTGTTGCTTTATTCAACACACATACTTCTTTCACAGGCAGCAGTATGATCCACTTCAATCAACCAGTCTCACTTGCAATAAACAGCCAAAATAAATTGTACATTAGTGATTCGCAAAACCATTGTATAAAGGTGAGTACCGGGAATGGTCCCTTACTTTCCTCTCAAAGTATAGTAATGGAAATCGACTAGCTTTTTATACAACGTTTTTTGTGTAAAAGCAATCACTGATATGATAGAGTAAATTTTATATGTGGCCTGTATTCATTTTACTGTTATTTATGAAATTGACTGTGGCGCATGACTTGCAAGTCAGTGAATTTTCTGAATTGTATTCAAATTTCAATGACTCAAGCAACTAACAAATAATAATAAGAACAAATAAGAAATGGGAAATGCCAGCAGAAAAGTTTCATTATTGATCATCACTGAGAAACAGCCACATGAATATAATACCGGTATATATCCATTTAATAATGTACAAATCTCACAATAAATCTCTCACATTGTTCTTTCATTACTAGGTCTACACATTGGCAGGAAGGCCGCTTTATAGGATCGGAGCAAAGGGATCGTCAGACGGGTTGTTTTGGAATCCGCTAGGAATATGCCTGGACGACAGTGACCATCTGTATGTGGCAGACTGTGGAAATAACAGGTTGGATTTTGGGGTAATTTGTGACATTGGGAGACATGACAAGTGGTCGGAACAGAGTTCCTCAAAACTTTTAAGCCAAGCCCCTTTTTTTAGAATTTGTCAAGTCTTATGCCCCACCTTAAAAATAACTAGCCAACAATAAGCTACAAATGACGATTAGTAAGACAAAAATATTTGAAATAAAAAAAAACGCTCTGAAAATAAATGGATGAACAGCAAAGAATGATAACAAAGATACAAGCACAACAGCTCTCCTGAAATCCCAGAACAATAAAGAAATGTAATTATTTAAAATAAGGCGGGCAATTTCAATTTAATTGAAAATATTCAAATTTTTTATTTTCAACCTAACACCCCCACAAAAAAGTGAGTATAAGAACCACTTGGTTGGAACTTTAGACACTATGGAAAAAGCTGATAGAATATATGTTTTTTTAACCCTGTGCCAAGCACTTCACCCCGGATAAATTACAAGATACCCGGTTCATTATGTTAAATTTCTAAGCTTCACTCATGTGAGCATGGCCAAAAGCAGAATAACATGATATTGTCATTGCATAAAATAATTTAAGCCCTGTTTAGTTATTGCGCCATTTTGTATGCCTGGTGCCTAATATGACAATAAAACATGAATTTTTGACTCGACTGAATTTTCGACTTTTAACTTGTTGCTGTGACTGAATAAGTCATGATATAACAAAAAAACTTTAAAGATAACTTGGAAGCTAATTTTGGATTAACAAAAATAATGGACAAATGAAATCAGCCCATAATCTGATGACCATTTTTGCTCTATCTTGGGGTTGAGGAAAGCCTATAATATAGTTTGAATATATCCCATTTGAGGCCACGATCGAGTTTCTAATTCAGCAGTGGCATGAGAATGGTTATTTCTTGCAGTACCTGTAGTATGTAATATGTATGTGTACCTGGATAGGGTTAGGCCATACTCTTATTCCGATTTTCCTTATTTCAGTTCTATTACGAGTTCGGGGACGGTTTGTGTTAGCCAAATGAATATACCCCCTGCCCATAGGTTTCAGCCCTTTACACAACTTTATATAAAATAGGCGAACAAAATTAGTTACGTCCATATTGGTACACAAACTTCATGAGCGCCCATCAAACAAGCTTTTCAATTCTTTTTTAGAATCTCAGAATTCGATGAAGAAGGCAATTTCACACGACAAGTCCTGACTGCAGCAGATGGATTATGGATGCCAAGTTTGGTGCAAATGAATAAGCGAGGGCAACTGGTCATTTGTGAATGGGAAAAACAATTTATAAAGGTGTTTAGTATTGAAACTGAAGTGTGATGTCATGAATCAAACTTATGATGTCATAGTCAAAATTTGTGATGTCATGAACCACACTTGTGATGTCATACATTGAAGATGATAGCGACAGGGTTTATGATATCAAAATACTTTTGAAGCCATAAAGAAAAACTTTAGGCAAAAGCAAACTGCACTATCAATGACCTTGAAAAAGCAGGAAATAACCCTAGCAAAATAGATAGTTTGCAGTTATAGTATTCTTTAAATATATCAGTTATTTCTCAACATACTTGTTAAAAAAAGCAAAAATCGACCTAAATATATATATTTTTTTTCTATTGAACTGCCAAATTTGAAGTTCACTTTGATTAAACTTCAAAATACTGTGGATAATTTGATCTATGTTATTTCAGCTGATTAATAATGATTTGCATGGTCACACACTCTCTGTTGCTAACACTTTTAATTGTGGTGAATTGGAACATATATTTGATAAAGCTGAAATTGACATTTTTGCAATGAAATTAAAATAGGAAATTCAGGAGTACAAACCAACACAAACGTATTTCTGTTTTGTATCCAAGAGTATTTCAACTATCATTAGAAATATACTTCACAAAAATTAGTATAAGTGTGTAGCAAGACTCTTATATACCTGGAACAGTCATTTTCTTGCTATAGTATCTACAAATTCACCCATGCAAAGCCATGGAGCAGAAATAAGTTCCTCTCGCATAGTGTGCAGAAACAGATAACAACTATAAGACATATGAGATTTTTAGTTGCACAAAAGATGGCCTACTTTTTGAATATTCAAAATCAATTGCAAATCAGAATTATAGAATACAAAACTAATCCCTCCCTTTTATTGCCATCCTCATGATCATTTATACCAGCCATATTTCTTGTAGAATATTCATTTTTCATCCCATCATATATGAACCATATTTTTTGTACTTTATCATACTATAAATAAACAACATTGTAGAAAATCTGTAATCTGTATTGCTTCAAAATATAGTAGCTTATTATGAATCATAATCAACTCAGCGGCGGGGCGCAACATCCTAAAGTTAAGAATACACTGGCCACTGCACATCTGATTACCGTGCATGGATTCCCCAGTTCGAATCACATACGGGGATAGTTATGTACAAAAGGATTGCTGAGCTCCTCGCTAATGTAAGGTAGTTCATGTAACCACCGGTTAGTTTTCTCCCCCAAACAAATAAGGTATCCAGGCCGAATAGCGATTGTCATAAGGGCGACTCCATGACAGCGACGTAATCAAGTGAGCGACTGTCAAAGCAGCGATTGACTGGGTGAAAGAGTGCGTGTGCGCGTAAGCCTTGGATTTAATAAAGGAAGTGATTTTGCTGTTGTGGCAGTCGCTGTTTTAAATGAATCGCTGTCGTGTGGTCGTTGTTTTAACAGTCGCTCACTTGATTACGTCGCTATTATGATGTCTCCATTATGACAGTCAAATATAATATGGGCATGTATATTGTGGTCGCATAATGTTACTGATACAGTAAATTTGAGAACCGAGTTTGCTGAAAAGATTGGTAGCATTACGAGTAAAAGAATTTTAACAATCAATTAAAACAAAACAGCCAAACTTTGGGTGAAATATCAAGTCCCGCAGAACTGAAGGAAAATTCAAAAAAAAAAAATAGAAGTAATAGCCTCCTATTAACTTACTTCATCTTGCTTAACCCCAACATTTTCAAGTACCGAAATATTGGAGTAGCTGGTTCATTGGTTGTCGAGAAAAAAAATTCATATTCAATTACAACAATTTATCAAATCCATTTACCATTCAATAAAATTTATTCAAATGGTAAAATTCCTTACCTGAGAATCTACTGTGCAGCAGGGAGTAGGTAATTTCTGCTCCAGCGCCCTCATCTGGATCTTTTGCAGTTACCACAGCAACTAGTGATCCAACACCTTCGGATTCCTGTACGCTGTATGTTCTCGGAGTACGAGGATCAATGAACACTGGAGGGCAGTCATTCACATCAATGACGTTTATCACCAGCTGGAAAATAACAAAAATTACGTCAATTTAAAGTGGTTCTGCACATCAACGTGAAATAATCAAAAATCCTTCAAATCAGAAAATAATGTAAACACATATTCAGCTCTGGTGTTTACTAATAATTGACAAATCCTAGCTCCACCTATGTGTCTAAAAATTTGGTTATAAAGTATAATTATATGGAAAAAGTGTATAATACTCATTTCCAGTTAGTGCATACATTCAGCTGCTAAACATCTCAATTCAAATTGATGCAGAAATTAGGAGAAATACAAATTTAGGCCCCAAAAATATCGATTTAATAAGACAATCCATATTTTCTGTTCATAAATTCACTTAACAGAAGTATTGTCTAAGACAGGGGTTCTCAACCTGGTGTGGGGGAACCCCCAGGGGTTCACGAGAAGATTTCCAGGAGTACTTGGACGGCAGTCGTGTTTTCGTGTGTTGCTGTTTTTTAATATCCTTTATTACTACCAAAGGAAAATGCAGGTGGATTGAACTAGATGCCAATTGAGACGTAGATTTTCCCTGACGTTGCGTTGTTGTGATTGTGACGCAACAATGTAAAATTTATGGCTTTGCAGGCAAACTGTGTAATCTCAAAAGACAGCGTGCTGCAGACATTTGAGAAAGTGACTATGCTTGATAAAACTTGGGAGAGATTTAAGAATTCATTAGCTAGACAGAGGACAAAGGCAATAATATCAACACGAAGATTTAATTTAGTTACATTTGGTTAATAAATCGTTGTTTCAACAAATCGTTAGTCAATATATCACAAGTCTGTTCAGTGTCTGATTACCGGGGGTTCGCGTTGATTGTTTCGTGACTCGGGGGGTACTTGACAGAAAAAAGGTTGAGAACCCCTGGTCTGAGATGTCCATTTGCCATCATTGTAAATGAAGTTACCTCAACTGACGTTTCTCTTCTCTCATGTTCTGGTCCACCCTGGTTGTCTGTCGCCGTGACAACCATTTTGTATTTTGATGTTTCTTCATAATCTAGTTGCCGTAGGAGACGAACTGCACCCTGTGATGAAAACAAAACATGTAATTTGCAATACTGCAATTTGGAAATGCATGAAAGTTAACATGAATTAGGACAAATATAATCATATAGGGTTGTCCATAAAGTCTTGAAATTTTTCAAAATTGAAAAGAGAATTTATCGATACTATATATATTGTTTCGGCCCTCAGATGTTTTAAGTGAAGTAAAAAATGTTTAAACAATTTTTGATCAAATAACAACGAACCTGGTTAAGATATATTGAGAACTGATTTTATGATAATATTTAATTTGTAAAAGGACTTCATGGACACCCTGTATTGCACCTACAATTAGCACAAGACCTATGAAAGTGTGGGGTCCTCTGTGGTCAAATAAGTTGCAATGCCCTAACGATTGCCCGGCAATACAAACAATATAGAGAATCGCCTACTGGTTTCTGCTTAATCTTGTGTGTATACCTTGAGTAAATGATTTTCAATCCGTTAAAACAAAATATTTTACCGAAATAGGATGAATCTTGAAGTAATTTTTCCCTCCTTTCAAATCATAAATAATTTTTCCAAAACTGCCAGAATCCCTGTCAGTTGCATCGACAGTGATAATCTCCGAACCTATCGTTTTGTTCTCAAAAATCAAAGCCTACAAAACAAATATAAAATGGTTTATATATTATGAAGTGTTTTTATACCTCCACTCCAAACAAGACAGCAGCAGATTCTATATTTGAAAGGACCAATGTTTTCATGTTTCCACATGTGACTCGTGTCTCAAGAGTGCTTGAATAAGATGAATTCAAGAGATCATAGTAACATAAAATCAGAATATCATTTCACATAATACATGTTTTTATGGTTTTTACATGGTTTACCTAACAAAGCTGGACTATTATGCTCTATTAATAGCTTGTATTATTTCTGCTCTTTTGTAAATTGCCTTATTTTGGATATTTACATTTCTTATTGTTTAGAGATTGCAGAGAAAGTTGATTTTTTGCTTTTGAGATAACACATACATTTCAAAGTATTTCCAACAAGTTTTTTGAATAAAACATACTTTGCTTTACTATCTGTTATTTGTAGCATATTAGCTACCGGTAGTTATTTTTGAGGTGAGGCGCGAGACTTGACAAATTCTAATAAGGGGGCACGTCATACAAAGTTTGAGAACCACTGCTATAATGAATAGACTATTTCTGGTTCAACATTGCCTATCTAACTACAACCTTGGGGATATAATGGGCATGGCAGAGAAACTTGAAATATATATCCTTCTATGCAGTTTTATTTAGCCAGCAGATACATACTTTTTTTTTTTTTTTTTAATTGAATCTGCATTTACCACCAATTTGACCCTTTTACCACTAACTTTTGACCCTTCTTGTCCCCTTATCCCGTACACATATACCCGTTGTCTTTGTATCAGATTGTATTGGTTTTTATTGGCCAGCGTATTTTCAAGGTACAACAGCCCGAAACTATAATACATTCAAGTGTTTTTTGTGTTTTCATTTCTGGCCCAAGCCTGGTAACAAGATTTAAGTTTTTTTTGTAAATGCGTGTTGGTAAGCGGGCACACGATACTCATCATTTTTGAACCTTTTTAGAGGTTTTGCTCGCTTTCCAGAATTCTCCATTTTTAATTTGTGTGTATTGGGGAGTTTTCAAAATAAACTATCTAACTCACCTTATATCTTTTGAGTCGAAACACTGGATCGTTATCATTAATGTCCTCCACTCTCATTGCAATTCGAAGCTTCACAGATCTGCTTTCCGGATATCCAAGATCTCTTGCTAAAACTGTCGTGTTTACCCATGCTGTACCACTTGGTGTCGCCAGACTCTCTCGATCAATTCGAGATGCAACTAAGATCGTTCCTTCAAAAATATAAGAGATTGTGCGATAAAAAAATACAGTTATGGATTTCTCTGCAATTAAGGTAATGTGCATTTAAAATCTCATATCTAACATGTACTTCTAACAAGGTGGGTTTGCTATGATTAACACATTTTATTAGATTTCCTTTTCCCCAGGATAAAAAATTCTACAATTCCAAATTCATACAAAATCAGCTCCAGTTGCATGGACTTATGATGGAGGAAGCAATAATACACTAGTGTTTGCAAAAACAATTTGCGAAAGAGAGGAAAATCCTCGTTGTCTTCATTATTCTGTTACCTGATTTCTGATCAGTCATTTGAACTTTATCTCCCTCTATGATATCATAAACAACCTCTCCATTGTTTCCTGAATCCGGGTCAATCGCTTTCACGTTGATAACAATTGATCCAATTGCTGTTTCTTCTGTGATGTTGACAATCAATTCATCATTAAGTTTTATGACATCATTGCTCGGTGATGATGACATCACAAATGTTGGTGAATTGTCATTTTCATCCTCTATTGTGATCTGAACAAAGAAACATAGTAATGAAATTCATCCAAGTATCCAAAATATAACATGAACAATTATCAAACATAGGACATTGTACTGCCTATGACTGTGCCATGTTCGTGAAATGCTCGGTATATATTAGGTGCTTTTAAAATTAGATGCGGTTGGTGGTGTACTTATTGATTATTCAAAAATAATTGCATAATTACTCCCAGTCTCCAATTGCATTAAAAGGGTTTGAAAATGCATCTGCTTGTTTACTACCTTATCTTGAATCACCCCATCTCCTCTCTCTCTGCATAAGCTCATAAAACTCTATTCTATACTCACAGTTACTGAAGCCGATTGCAATGCTTCTGCGTTTTCTTCATCAACAGAACTAAGATCACGAACCCGTATTGACATTTGAACCCGGGAGCAAAGTTCACGATCAATGGACTATGAAGATAAATGAAATAAGTTGTAATATATAAATATAAAGATTTACATATAACATTCACAAATTATTTCCAGAAGAAAGGAAAGGTAATAAAACTACTCTCTGCTTTTCCCATGGTTACCAGTCCATGCCGGTTAAGGAGTTATTTGTTTCAGATATGTGGACCGAAGAGTGGAGGAAGCTGTAACCGACCAGTGATTACGTGAATTTGACATGATCTATCATACCACCGTATATTTCCAAACTACTACACTATATTCTAAGTTTTGTATTCAATCAGAAAATGCCGGTAAAATGGCTCAATCATATGACAGACGGCAACTCCTCACTCTGTTACCAGTCCGTGTTGGGTATGGAAATAAACCAATTATTATTTTCAAATGCGTGTTCATAATAATAGTGGAAGGAGCATTAAATTTTCTATACTATGCAATCCTGGCTTTGCATGGAGAAAAATTCCAAGAAACATGATTCAAGCAACCCAAAATAAACCTCTAAATCCAGGATCTTACATTTCTATTGGAAGCCGCAACATTTATCTCTCCTGAAGTTTCATTCAATTCAAACCAGTTTCTTATAACATCATATTCATCAGTTTGAAAATTCCTAATTGAAAAGCTTGATGGATCGTCAGTAGCCATTAGTTGGCGCCCATGAGCATCGAAAACATCAATCGATACAAGTTCATATTGCAGACGATGGTTGAGGTCTGGGTCTATAGCTTCCACTTGTATGATGACTGTACCGGGCGCAGTGTTCTCTTTAACCTGTAAAATAACAAGCAGTTAAAAGGGTTAAAGGTCAACCTATAAAAATAGGTTGGCTGGAATAGCATTTACCTAATTACTCATAAGCACACAGTGGCGTGCGTATCTTGGGTGTCGCAGTCATCGCAGCCACGGCACGTTTAAACAAGAAAGCAAAACGGTAAAAAGTTAAAATGCTTAAATCTTGAAATGTTTCAATAAAATAATTTTAAATTGGAAACAGTTGAAAGCCGTTTTATTTTTACTCAAATAATAACGTACAGGTATATCATTTCAATCATCGGCATGATCAATTGTCAACCAACCATTAAGGGCGTATTTTCGAACTTTGCCATGAGCGCCATCTTAGGTAGATTTAGGTAGATACGCCACTGTAAGCATATATACTATTTCGCTTATGCATTGTAATTAGTTTGTACCATGACGAAGTACAAAGTGAATAATTTTATATTATCTATTTTCAAAGGTTGAATAAACTTACACTGATAATCTGTGATAAGGCTGTAAACTTTGGTCTTGAATCATTGACATCATCAAGTTTAATTATGACAGAACAAGTACTTGACAGTGATGTCAAAGTGCCTTTATCATAAGTGACTACTATGATAGTATAATCAGATTTTGTTTCTCTGTCAAGCAGTTGTCCAGGTGCCACACGTAAAATGCCTAAAATCAAGATAAAAACTTTATTTGTCCATATTTTAAAATATTTCAGCAAAAGAGAAAAGATGCAAAAGTTCAGTTATGGCCTATCTTATCTATTACATTCCTTTGTGGTAAATGAACCAGGGACCTTTATCTGATCAGCCAATTCAGTGAGATCCAACATGCAACCACTAGACTAATAAATCCACTATAGTTTTCTGATATAAAATATCCACTAGATGTCCCCACCTGTTTCCTGGTTAATCACAAACTTATCAAATGATCCACTTTGTATTCTGTATCTGATCTTTCCATTCATTCCGATATCTCGATCTGTTGCGATGACACGAGTTACTTCCGAGCCTAAAATAGACGATATAATTTTATTTGCTTGAGTTTACTTTGTATTAGTAGGAGATTGTTATCAAGTCAAGTAAAGTTTATTTTTTCCAAAGAATCAATAAAGAATCAATAGAACACAAATTACGAGAAAATGATAATTACACAGATTTACTGGTAAAAAGTCACAGGGAACCAAATGTGGTTATCGAGCGTTATATTCATTTCACGATACAGAAAAGAATAAGAAGACGGCTTTATCCTATGGCAAATCTCCCAACCATATTGTTAGATAACAATAACATATTTATGACATCACAAACCCACTCACCTTGTTTTATATCTTCTTTCACTCCCACTCTCACTTTATTGGTTCTAAACCGAGGAGGGTTGTCATTGACATCAAGGACCGTCACAATGACATTGACATCAGAATGTCGGCCCCCTCGATCAGATGCTCGGATCACAAGAGTCACCGCATCACTAGCAAGCACTTCTCTGTCTGGGAAAACATAATATTGTTAGAACAGTTTCAGCCAATAAAAACCATGAATTGTGGGATCATGACTCAATAGCAAAAACTTCTTTTTTGAGAAAATGTATGACGTGTGAATATAAGTCTATACACCAGGGCAAAGTTTTTAGACCCGGGGCAAACGTTTTTCCCACCTAGACTGGCGGACCATGTGAGTGTGACGTAAAAGTTACATTTTATGAACCATATTTCCAGTCTTACATAAGAAAATGCTTGAAACAATAGGCCTCCTGCCAAACCTAAATTTAATCACAATCTCAAAAAATTCCTTAAGCTGTTTTGAACTAACATCAAAATTTGGTTTTGTTGTTGTTTTAAATGTAAATTCTACACAATCTTTAATAGATCCTCAGCTAGTGTTATGTGCAACTAACACTCTGGCTTTTGCACAGTAACAATAGCTTATAACGAGTCCACAAATATGAGTTACAATATTAATAAATAACTACGCACCATTAGTGAAAACTACACATAAATATGAAGTACGGTTTCTGTAATTCTTTTCTTAAAATGACAAAATTGATAGCATACCTAGTTCCACAAGCACTGATATCTCTCCACTGCTTCCATTGATTGCAAAGAAAGAAGACCATTGACTGCCAACGTAATTGTTGACGAATGTGACATCATCTCTGACCATTGTATATGTCACAATTGCATTTTCCCCAATATCTTCATCAAGTGCAAGTATGAGATCACCCTGAATTGAGAATTTTATTTGCTTGCTAATTTTCCTTTGTGAAATGATAGCAAATGAGAAATTAGGTCTTTATTGGTTTGTAAAACTGCATTTGTCTTAACAGTGATCTCACTTATGATTATTAATATTTCACTATTAATTATGAAAAGTAAAGTATGCATAATGCTAAGCGTTGGAAATATGCATAGATACCTATCCTGTAAAGATTTACAGGTTCGAAACCTGTGGATATATTTGAGAGTGTGGAATTGTCAGACTCCTCATTGTTGTGCAGTGGTTCTCTTAACTGCTGTTCTGTTGGGGTATCCTCCACCATACGAACAAATATCTGGTTAAAGAGATGAGTCTCCTCTACTTTTGAGTGAGTGCAGGTGAATCAACTCGAAGATGAGTTACTTTTGAGTGAGTGCCTATAACCTTGCTCAGAGCTGAGTATCCTTGTCTTCTGAGTGAGTCCATGCAATATTCTCTGCATAATTTCTTAAAAAAATTTTACCTCAATGGTCACCACAGTTCCAGGTTTTGAATTCTCATCCACATGGGCGCGATATGGAGTTTTTCCAACAAAACGAGGGGTTTTGTCATTCACATCTGATACAATGATCTGAAAACACAAATTCAAAAAATAAAAAACCTGTTGCAAGAAGTTCTCTTTGCCAACAGAACATAAATTAAGATAGCAGGTGGTTGCTGTTTACAGATTTTCTGCCCATTGGATTTTTCCCAGCACAGACTTTGGACCTCCTGAAGTATGCGCACCGAGATGGCGCTCAACCTGAACATAGTGAGGAGGAAAGGTGATTAGGTAAATTAATCAAATGGATAGCCTTTGCTTCTCGGTTGGCTACCTGTCCAATATAGAAATATTAACCCTTGAAATTTTCGCTTGTAAGAATACCTCACTCATTCCAGTTCTCCCAATCTGATAGAATCATGGATATGAGCGACTGCTTTTATAAATCCCCCCTCCCCCAAAAATAAAAACATTCACACACCTTCATAATCCTAGTAGTTTGTCTTGAATTCTCTGCATTTCTTGGGTTGTCCTTGGCCATTATTTCAAGGTCATATTCAGAGATGGTTTCTCGATCAAGACCTTTTGCCAGGTGAATGACACCAGTCTAAAAATATTTAAAAAAAAATTGCTTCGAAATTTCAGCAACAGATGACGTTTTGCAACATGACTCAGTCATCAGCATGTAAGGCGATAGACAAGAATGTAGATATTAATGCACATAGACTCCAAGAAAGCAAACAAAACATGAAGTTAGGTTGGAAAATCTATGGATAAGTCTCTTACTCTAAATGGCAAACTTTCTATACTCAGCCATTTATGACCAAATTTTGTGACATCCATACATTCATATTCCTCCCAGATAAAAGGATGGATAGTTTTACCATCCCGGGGAGGAAGACTTAATCACTTGTCTGGTTTCCTTGCTATGAGTGAGTAGTTCAGCAATTATTTAACCCCAGACAAGATTTCCAAATTCCAGATGTGATTTTTCTCTCATTTAGCTCCCATCTGATACTTTCCACTAGGGCTAGGCGCAGTGGTCAGCATAATAGGTCAAAAACCTGGGATAAAATTTCATTCCCACCACTTCATTCAGAGCCTTTTGTTCAGAGCCTTGTTTAGAGCAAAAGCCATAAAAATATTGTTTTAAAAAAAAGAAAAAAGTTGTGTACTTACCCATTTTTCAATAACAAATGTTCCGTCACCATCCACAATGCTATAAAACACATTCCCAAACTCCTCACTGTCAAGGTCATTTGCAAGGACACTGGTTACGACAGACCCAACATTGGTGTTTTCTGCTATTCTGACCGAATGATGAAATTTTGTAAACTTGGGAGCGTTGTCGTTCACATCAATCACACGAATTGAAAAGTCCAACTAGAAAAATAAAATATGTTGTTCTGAAGACAAGAAAATGTCACAGTATAAAGGAAAGGTTAGTGTAAAGAAAATCTCTTGAATCTCTTAGAATAGACATTCTTTCAAGTATGTTGAGGAAAAGTCATGGTCAATAGAATTTCTCTTGTTTAAGATTCACCACCATCTGGCTTTTTTCTTGACCAAGTCTAGAGCAAATTAGAATTTGTTGTCACGTAATGTGATATAGTTTTAGTTTCAGTAGTTATAGCTATTGGCAACTCAGTGGGTCTTTGATTTTTGCTGTCTTCTGCACCCGAGTAAATGCGAGTAATTTTGTACAAAGATTAGTCTCTATTTTTTCTGAGTGAGTGCATGTATCTTAGCTATGAGATAAATCTTCTTCATTTTTGAGTGAATTAAAATAACTTTGTTACAAGAATATTTCCCTTTAATTTTGATCTTGCCCTTGCTTCTAGCAAGTTTTCATAAAAGTAAAAATCTTACAGATGAATTCAAAGCTGGAATCCCAGAATCCATTGCACAGACTGTCATGTTGAAAAATTCATTTTCTTCTCTGTCCAGATGTTTTCCTTTATGAACTCGAAGATTTCCTTCTGAGTGGGAGATGGAGAAAAATCCTGAATCAAATGAAAATTTATAATCAGACAGAATGGGATTTTTATGTTCATCCTGAGAAGAGATCAGGTTACTGAATCAACTTCTCATTCAGGCCACGGTGAAAAATAGCTGATCAATTAGTTGTTTAGATCCATATATCTTGGGGGAAGTTGGGCAATCAGTTATGTAAACAACAGGCAACAGCTAGAAGATCATCAATCCTGTTGCAGATAGCTATATACCCCAGTGGTTCTCACATGGTGGAAAGTGCTCCACAAGAGGGGCGTAGACAATTTTATGAGGGAGGCGTGATGAATATTAAAAATATTTGTCAGATTTGATCTTGCCCCGCCTTTTTTAGATATTTACATTTCTTTATTGTTTAGAGATTGCAGAGAGCTGTTGTGCTTGTTGTTATTTGTATTATCTGTTATATTACTTTTGTCTAACTATATGTTATTTGGAGCTTATTGTTAGCTAGTTATTTTTGAGGTGGGGTGCGAGACTTGACAAAAAACTGCTCTTTACATATCAATGGTTGCTTGGAAAACTTTTTATAAAAATGTCTGAATTACCTTCTTCATTTCCACTACAGATGGAGTAAGTAACAAAACCATTTTCTCCGGAATCCGCGTCCGTGGCAACAAAACGACTGATCCGAGGTCCTTCTATTCCCTCCATGACATCATAAACCATTGACTGTTCACTGATTTCAAAAACTGGTGGGTTGTCATTGACGTCAACTACATGTATTATAACCTGCCAACAAGAAGATGATTTAAAATACAAGGTATTCTAGTTGTGGGCGATATCGTCGAAAGCAGCGATCCACAAAGGTTGCGCCGTATAAATTAACAGAATTGTATTAAACATAACTGAAATATAATTGAATATTTTACATATTGTATTGTAAGAATATACAATACTTGCTGCAATTTCGTGAGCTGCAGCTTTTTTATCTGCTGAACCGAGATTCGCGAAAATAAATGTTTTTTTCAGCATTTAAAAAAAATCAGGCGGAGATGAGAAAGAAGAGTTGACCTTTTGCCTTTATTCCTCAGGCTTAATCGCTTGTTGGTGCGTTGTGAGTATTTTCTTTGAGAATTTAAACAAAAAGTTTGAGACCCACTGGTCCAGAAGGGTAAAGCTATACACCGACATATGTTAGCATTGCAGGGTTCAAATTGCATGCAAACCACCTCACCCAAGGTGCAATAAATTGGGTAGGCACTGCAGAAAGAGAAAAAAGCGGCTCCTCACATATCAATGCTTTTTAAATTTAAACTCATTAAAAACAATTATATCAAAATAAACCTAAAAACATCACCTCTGCCACAGAAGATAACCTGTCTTCTACATCTTCTGATTGGTCTGTTGACATCACAATGAGTTTGTAGACACCATTTGTTGACTCATAATCCAATGGTTTTATGGAAACAATATCTCCTGTTCTGGGATCCATCATGAAAGTTCCATCTTCATTGCCTGGAAAGGAAAAAGGTGAGAGGTATAGGATAAGAATATATATTTATCTTGGGGGAGAGGAAAGTCGAAAAGGGAGCTCAATTATCTGGCAAACCTCAATCTCTCGTACAGTATCAGTCCATTTCAAGAATGTGATTAATTGGTTAGTTATTCATTTCAGATGCATGGAATTGATGGTGGCGGAAGCCTTAACCTACTAGCGGTAACATGAACCACCCTCCATGAGTTCAGCAATCCTCTCACACATAATTATTCTCAGTTGAACCATTGAACCAGCATATAGTAATCAGACGCACAATGTAATGCATTCGTATTTCTATTGCTTAGCAGAATACGCTGTAAGCTGAGTCAAATACAAATAACTGTGAGCGGTCACTAATATCTTAAACTCTAATAGTTTGTAAAACATAAAATTCGTTACAATAAGCATACCTTTAGTTATTTCATATACAATTTCACCATTCCTCCCAGAATCCTCATCTGTGGCAGTGACATATGCCACACGAGATGCCATGCCTTCGAGAGATGTCACGACATATTTATCCTGAGTAAATTCTGGCGAATTATCATTCATGTCCAGTATAGTTATAAGGAGTTGATGCTTTACCTGAAAGTAGAAAGGAAAGTTCATTCTTATTTTTGAATAATAAAACAAAATCATGTGTTGTTCTTTGCATGCATGGTTTCAAAATCCATCCTCGTTGCGAATGTAAAGTGCTGTGTGACATGCCCAACTATATTGCTATACCAGACTTCATTCATACAAAATACAATCGCATACTAGATAGAAACAGTGTCTGTTAATATACAAAATAAGTTAATAGGTTGGAAAACTTGGAAATTAGGATTTAAAGATAAACTTACTGCTAACGGAGGTGTTCCATGATCTCCAGCAACTATAATGACATCATACAGTGATTTTTTCTCATAATCAAGGGAGGAACCAGGCTTAATTGTAATGTCACCAGTAAAATCATTCAACCGAAACACTTCATCTGTAGCAAAGACAAGAAAGAAATATTATGGACACATAGGTTGGGCAGCAGCGTCAGTAAGGCTTTATCTAACTTCAATTGTTATGAAAAATTTTCTAACAAATTCCCTCCAGCCCAGGTTCCAGACTCCTGATAAGCAGGGATTTACTATCTTGTACATCGCGCTATCAAATTCATGCAATACGCTATTTAGAATCTGACAAGTAGGACATTAATGGCAACATCAAATTGCTTACTAAAACCAACTTCAATTTCAGAGCCTCTTCATAAAAAGCCAGCGTAAGCTGATAATTGTTTCTAAAAATACCTACAAATTCTTCTATACTAGAAACCTTTCTTGAACTCAGTGAGTATGATGACCTAGTGTAGGGGCACAGGCCGGATCCAGCCCACCTAAGTGTTTCATAAGGTCCACTTGTGTCTGCTGAAATTACAACTATAGTTTTCATGGATATGAATTTCCGTTGGAGATATGGATGAAAATAATGTCACAATGACCCAGATTGTTACCTAGTGCTTTCCTGTTATTATGTAAATCTTAGCCCGGCTATTGGACTAGCTGTTGCACACTTGTAAATAACCTATTTTTCATTCCTAGTTTTTCATATTGAGTTTTGATCCTCCGGCCCAGTAATATAGTCTATTATCTGTAACTGGACCACTCAGAAAAGTAATTGCCCACCCCTGGCCTAGTGGTAAGTGTTAGACTTAAGTATGTTGGCATTGTAGTCTCTAAACTTGGGTTCTCATCCCCTCACCCAATTCAGGATGTAATAAATTGGGTGCTCCATATGTGTGTGTGAGTGTGTGCTTGCCTAGTTTACATCAAGTTGTGTGAACGGACTGAAATAAGTGGGCAGGAGGTATATTCACACTTGGCTAACACAGACAGTCCCAGAACTCATAATAGAACTGAAATAAGAAAAATCGGATTAAACTTGGGGCCTAACGCTAACCTGGTACACACACTACGGGAGTACCTTAAATTGGGCAAGGAATGCAAATTGAAAGATTCCAATTCTGAGTATTAGCTTCTCTCATTTTGCTGAACATATGTGACAGCTTGTACAAGACCTTGATAAGCATTGTGAGGAAACTCACCAAACTCATTCCTGCCTTCTTCCACAAAATATCTAATTTTCTTGTTCCTTCCACTGTCACGGTCTGTTGCTTTTATTCCGCCAACTCTTATTCCGCCATCAAGATTCTAAAATATATAATCTTATTTAACCATGCCTTGGGCAGAATCCCTAGAAACAAACAATGATTTCAAAACTTATAAGTCATGAATTTATGAATTAAACAATCTGAATCTTTATTCTATCGTTTAATGTTGAAAAGTAAAATTTACTCTCTTGACTGTGTATATAAGTTGTTGCTAAACAGTGCTATCTATATGCCCATATGTATAAATATAGGCTCAAAGGTTGGCACATTGTGGTAAACACTTGGAATATGCTTGAAATCACACCAACAATCGGCAGGTGTGTATCCCATTGAGGATAATTATGTGCGAGAGGATTGGTGGACTCGATGCCATAGGGTGGTTCAGGTAAACGCTGTTCGGTCCAGATTCCTCGTCTAAGAAGGCCATGCATCTGAAACGGATAAATGATTTACCATTCCCATATTCGACATGGACTGGTGACTAGTTCACCATTATGATTAAGACATCGTATCAGCTTTGTTCTCCTCCTGGAATAAACATGAAAATTCATATCCTATAGTTTTATGTTCTATTCAGCCTACCTCATACACTGTAATATTAAATGTTGAATCTTCAGTAAACTTTGGACGATTATCATTCACATCAGTTACTGTCACCACTAGAGGCACTGTCGTATTGTGAGGGGGTTCTCCCGAGTCCGTAGCAACAATATCAAGTCTCACAAGACCATCTTTAATCAGCTCATAATCAAGAGGTCCTGTTAAAAACATTGCATATTCAGTGAATTATTCTTGGAACAACAGTTAACTAAAGACTTTTCAAACAATAAGAAATTGCTTGCCTGCCCAATTCATCACCCTATAGGTGAGTGGATTTGAATCAAAGATGTTTAACCTGATGCCACACAGTAAAGTCTAACGCTTAATACGCCTGGAATTGTGACATTACCAAACTGGGAACGAAAACATTCTTCCAAACTTATTAGTGGAAGTTAAAGACATCAAAATGTTGTACAGCTACTTTACTGGCACATTGTACCAACTGTGCAAGTATAAGTTTATTTCTTCATAATACGCATAAAAGACAATTATGTATTTAATGAAAATAAACAAAAATATTAATACACAATCAGGAGTGCAAACAAAACTAGGTTTGAAGCATACAAAATTGGAAATGAAATGTATTGCCAAAAGGAGTGATAGGGGTTTACTTAAAGAATATAATATTGATTCACAAATATACAGACACACGCGTACATACAACCAGTGGTGGGATTCAAATTTTTTGTCAGCCGGTTCCTTCACAAAAGTCATATTTTTCAGCCGGTTCTGTTGCAAAGAGGACATTGACAGTAACCAGTAATGCTAACCGGTTCGCTGATCTCATAAAATTCCGTGAGACGGTTCTATAGAACCAGTGCGAACCGCCTGAATCCCACTACTGCATACAACCAATAGACATAATATATATTAATTGTTAATTGTATTACAAGTAACAAGCATTCTATTCACCTCTAAGAAATACTTCTCCAGTTCCCTCTGCTGTTGTCTTGATTCTAAAATATTTGCTGAAACGATCCCCTGTGATGTCATAATTAATTTCATTGTTGGGAGGAGCGTCACCATCAAAAGCCTGAAAAATATGAACCATATTCACTGCTAAGCATTTCATTTGCTGGAAATCACTGAAGCACGACTGGTCACAATAACCTCATCGAAACATAAAAATACTGGTGCTGTCAAAAGAAGATCTAATCAGTATGATTTAAAAACTTTTCGTTCCCAGACATTTTACCCAAGAACTTTTCTGGTCATAAGGTGCCATAAGATGTAAACTGCCGGCACTGATACAACCTATGACCAAATGCACGAAAGATTTTCATGTATTTGTATTGTATTATTTGTAATCAACTTCTTCCAACTTCTGTAACACGAAACACCTGTGGCGAAAAGTTTATATACCTGGACTTCTCAATGAAAACGGACCTTCCGAGTATTCCATTTGGACCGCATCTCATTGTTTGTTTATGGAGCACTGGCCCATTAACGTTAAATATGTGCAAGTTACTTTTTATTAAATGACTTTCATTTATGGTTTTGAATGTTATTTCATCATTTGTTCATACAAGAAAACTACTGTGATGTCATTATATACAGTGTGATTAATGCTGTCTGGCTCTGTGGAATAAACATCACTAGCCGAGGAACAACAATGCTTGCCATGGATGTCTTTGGGGTCTTGTGTAGTTTTGCACCACAATAACCTCCAGTGGGTACGACCCAACAATTCTTTCATTGTCATTCCTAACCCCCACCTGACTCCATCAGAAAATTACAACACTACGACATAACAGTGACATAATTTAGCTCGCCAAAATATATCAGGGTAGTCCAAAATGTGCAGTCAATCAACCAAAGTCAAACAAGCTATTTTTCCTGTTTTCTCATTGTAGCGATCCCGATGAGAAAAAAATCACTGGCGTTAGTAATTTCATAATTGTCAGCTATACTTTGCCAAGCTATATAACGGGATTGTGACGTTGTAGTGACATAACTTTTGAATGACGTAGTCAGGTGGGGGTTAGGAACAACATATGAAAAAATTCTATGCCAAGCTCACTAGAAGTACCTGTGGTACGAAACTACATGAGACCCGATCTTTGGTAAGAATATTTTAGTATCCCCGCTATATATGTAAAAATATTTACCCTGACAACAACTATCGGTTCTTTTATGTCTTCATTTTCGGTGACATATGCCGCATAATTTGTGGCATCAAACTGTGGCATTTCATCATTAACATCTGTGACATGGATTGTAACTGCTGCCATGGCACGAAAGGAAGGAGAGCCACTATCAGATGCCGAAATCACAATGCTGAAAAAAAAAATAGTGAAAATTCAATTTTCCTTGTACGAATGGGCACAAGGGCACGAACGTTGGTTACAGCGTTGGCTATAAACCCCATTTCACAACTATTTCCATTGTAATTGTTTGTGTGTTTCATTTTTTATTTGTCTTCTGTGTTGTAGAGCAAAAATCCAAAAAAAAAATTGGATTATCATATTTATACCAGGGAAGAGGAAAGCCCATATGACAGCTTATTCATATGTGAAACTGAGGCCTCTCATCCAGTTACCAGTTCATGTTGGTTATAGGAGTAATTGGCTAGTTACATGAATCATCCTGAGATTTACAGGCAATACATATATAAAAATAAATTTTTGTATTTGAATGGAAACTTGCGAAAGCCCTGGGCTCTACTGATCGAGTCTGCTGGTATTCCTTATTTCCCCAATCTTCTATGTGTTTAGTGTTGGGTTGTGTGTAAGCACCGTGGAACACCCTTTAGAAGTCACTAAATTTAGCCATTGTATTAGCTTTCCTCTCCATTTAGATAAAATCTGGTACTCCCGAAGTATCTGAACCAAGATGGCGGACACCTGAACATAGTATGTGTACCAGGTTAGGGTTAGGCCATAATTTTAGTTCTATTATAAGTTCGGGGAGTAGCCAAGTGACTCCCGTAGTATTTGTACCTGAAATTATGGTCTAACCCTAACCTGGTACACATACCACATTCCGGTGTCCACCATCTTGGTTCACATACTTCGGCAGTACCAAAATGTTATCCTAAGATTAAACTCACATGTACTGGGATATCTTCTCTCTGTCCAATGCTTTGTGCAAGACAATGTAATCAGTGTCGGAGTCGAGAGCGAACGTTTGTGTTGAGTCAGAGATAGAGTAATACAATTCCCCAAATTTCCCTTCATCCTTGTCAAATGCCTCTGCCCGGAGAATGTTTGACCTTATGGTTGCTGAAATTAATGCGAAAATGTTTATTGAGGCTCATTATAGAGAGGTTAATAAAGAAATGTGTAAATTCTATGTACTCGTCGGTGTGGCGCATTGTGCCACACGTTAGGAATACACTCGTCGTCTTACTGGCTTTCCTCACCCCCGGAATAAATATGTAAATTCTCTCTAGGCTGTACTTTTTAGGCTGATGCATGACTTGATGGGGGACAGAAAAAATATGATGGATCATTTTGCGACCCGTGGGTCAGTGGGTCGCCATCCTTGTCCTATATAAAAGATGGCAAACCACTGACCCAAATTTTTAGTGACTTGCGATGTCTTGAAATAATGAGAAACTTGCTGTTGCTTTTTTTTGCAAGTCCTATAATACTTGGTTGGTATTGTGTAATTTGCAATGATGGGACACCACTGTTTTATACCTGTAATTGCATACCTGTAATTGCTAAATTGAAGTAAGTCATGGTATATCGTCAATTTCTATCACTGAAATGTTAGTATATTCTTCGCACAAAAGTAGATATTTTATAAATATATGAGACCCGTATTCTTCTCCTTCAAAAATATTTTCACCAGTTCATTAAAAAATGGTGTACAATTACTGTCCTAGAAAGTTGACCGCTTTCACAAATACTCACTATTCTCAGGGACTTCTATGCTGTACACAGGTTGCTGAAACATCGGTTTGTTATCATTGACATTCTCAACATTTATGATGACATCCACTGCAGAGTAGTGCGAGGTGTTTCGGGTTTCATTTGCAAAGATCTGGAAAATAATGAAATGTCAAAGAACTAGCAAAACATCCACCAACATGTAAAGAGCGAACGATTTATCTGTGAAGAGCTATAAAGTGGGCATGTCTATAAAGCAGGGGTGGGCAAGGTTTTTGAACCAGAGACCAAAAATTTTGCCCACCTAGACTGGCGGGCAATGAAAGTGTGACGTAAAAAGTTACATTTTATGAACAATATTTACACTGTTACAAAAGCAAAAGTGGAAAACAAGAAACCTCGTGCCAAAACAAAATTCAATCAAAATCTCAACAAATACTTTGAGATAGTTTTTACTAAAACATCAAAATTTGTTCTAGTTTGGTTGTGGCAGTATTAGGTGAGCCAGATTGAACTACACAACGGGCCGAGTTTGGCCCGCGGGCCATTGTTTGTCTATGTCAGCTATAGAGCATGATTGCTGCTAGGTTTATTCAAGCATACTGCAGGTTTATTCATCTGGTGAAAATGGAATTTAACCCTAAAACTAGTCTAGATTAGGGATGCCACTTTTGGATTTACGAATCGGATCGATTCGAATCGCATCTTTTCCGGATCGATTCGAATCAGATTTACGCGATTCGGAAAAAGAGAGCGATTTAGCGAAAAAAAAAACATTGAACGTTTGTTAAATCGTCGTTTTCGGCGGCTTTAAATCTGCCAGAGTGTGTTTATGCGGCACTCCAAATAACGCCAAATTACGGGACCGAAAAAAAAAACATTGAACGTGTGTTAATTGTTGTTTTCGGCGGTGTTAAAACTACCGAATGCGTTTATGCAGCACTCCAAATAACACCAAATTACGGGGACCGAAAGAAAAACATTGAACATTTGTTAATCGTTGTTTTCGGTGGCGTTAAAACTGCCGAATGCGTTTATGCGCACTCCAAATAGCAACAAATTACGGGACGTAAATAAATGAAAATGAATTTTTCGTGATTGACTTTCTTACTTGTCTGCCGTCATTTGTTTCAAGTTCGACACAACACACTCTTTTACGCATCACTCGAGATGATGTGTGGCGTAATTACCAGCAAACTGCGAGTTCACTTTTCCACTAAATAACTGAAGTTTCTATTATGCGCGAATTTAAATGAATCGTATACCTGAAAATTCGTGACAATTTTGATGAAAATTTTCAACAGCACACCTGCGCTGCGACTAAGTTATTGTACGCCCTGGCATGATTGGATAAAGAATCGGCCACCGACGTCTAGATAATGTTTAATTTTGATTGAAATTTAATTTTAACTTTGTTCTGAGAGCAATATTTTGCGTACATTTGAAGAGAACTATTACTGAATGAGTTCATCGGCCGGCAATGTTAATTGACAATCATGTTTCTCATCCTAAAATATATATTTATTTTGTTTGCGTTTGTCAGGCTTCCACTCGAGTGGCGATAAACGAAATCAGGGGGACATAATGTAATAGTACATACACGTCTTTTTTCAGCTGTTACAAAAAAAAAGTAGTATTTACTTTTAATTTTGTTAGCGCGATACAAGCGAATAAAACATTTCGGATTATTTCGAGCAAATGTCATAACGGACAGGTGGGAGTAAATAATACTTGAGGAATGGCAACTTGTGCACTGTTTTACATTAACACGTGGCAGATTTCATACCAGACCGAGCATACTGTGCGAATGTCGTCTTACTTTAGCCCCAGCGACCATGTCCGATCGAGATAACGTGTCAACCAATTATCGCTCGTCAGCGCGGCGTCCATTATGCACATTTGGACTTTCTGAATTACGAAATTAAACGTAGTCCACATTAATAATGAAGCCCGAGTTAGCCAATAACGCTGTTAGCCACAAATAATACTTTCTCTAATATTTATGGAAATTTTTGTTCGCAATCGTAGTCGGATGAACGATTGTTTTTATCGAATTTAATTTAATCGTGGTTAATTTTATCGTCTTCAATCATATTCTTGTAAGCATTTCCCATTTATAGTAATTCAGATGCAATTAGAATGTTTTTGTCGTATTACTCTATGCTGCTAGCATAAATATAAAATATTGTACTAAGATTTTGAAGATAAAGAATCGGTAATAAGGCCGGCCTTAATTCACTATAACAAGAGGGGAAATACCACGGTCACATATACTGGTGTGGGACAAGGAAAAGCATCGCTGTTACTGTGTTTACGACATAACAGTACAACTGTTCCCTGCTTATTTTCTCATATGAATTCCATCAAATTGCCTCAGCCCTGATACAAGTATAACACAATAACTCAGTATTGTAAGACTCACAGATAAGTTGCAACAGCAAGTTTTTCATCAATGCATTTATTAGTGATATCTATGACCTACATCTTTTTTATCATGATGAAAATAAGTGTGGCTTATTCACTGAAAAACCCTTATCATCCTTGCTATATAGCCTATTCCATTTTCAAATTTTTTTCTTCTAGATTTGAGCTTTTTTGTGACTTTGGGCAAACATACGCATGTAATAAAAAAAAAAGCTTAATGGAATCAGATTCGGAAAGATTCGATTCGAAAAGTTTTGATTCGAGATTCGATTCGAAAAAAAATGTATCCAGAAGTGGCAACCCTAGTCTAGATGGATATTTATATCAGGGAAAAGCAAAACCAATCAGATGGATCAATCATAGGATAGGTCAGGGTGATCCAAGGTTGATGGCCTCGCAGGCCACACTATTATTCCAGATTGATTGAATACCAAATTTCACCAAATTTGCGATACAGGAGGGTAATGACTGAATTTTCTGACATATAGGCAGCATTTATTGTAATACTGTTCAGCCTGATTGCGAAAAAACACCCAGCAGAAATTATTTTATGGTTATTTTTATGACAAAACAACACCAAATTCTGTTTTGTTCGATTTTTTGTTTAGCCTCCAGCAATGACAGAGCGGGCCATAGATGATGAAGCCACGGGCCATGGGCCTGGGTTTGGACCACCCTGGGGTCATGACCTCTTGTCTGGCTACCAATCTATGCAGGGTAGGGTAATAGGTAACCAGCTATTTGTTTCAGATGTAAGGTTTAACAAGCATTGAGCTTACCTTCAAATGTATCCTCTTTCTATCTTCGTAATCAAGCGGCTCCTTCAGAATTAGTGACACTTCACAGATGCCACGGCATATTACTGGTGTCACAGCAAATGATGGAGCATTGACTGAATCTATGGATATTGTCATTTCACTGTTTTCTTCTTGGTCCAAATCTGAGAAATGAAACATCAAATTAGGGAAGTGTTGAAACTTCAATATCTGTTGTCTGGAGAAATGCTTTTTATACAAGTTGGATAAAAGCCTAATCCCCCCTATAAGAATCCAAACTATTATTCTTAGCTGCTTGATAACCAGCCTTTGTCCCCCGGGACTTCCCTTCCCCAATAAAACTATAATTTTCCTTTTTTTGTCTCGTATATTCTTTGTTCATCTGTTTTTTTTTATTTACTGGTTGGAATAAATAAATTTGACTTGACTTGACTCACTGAGAATTATATATAGGTTAGAACAAAACAAGGTCCCACATTCTCAATAAAAACAAAAAATATTGATAGGAGAGATATCAGCAACTGCCAAGCTATTTATATAGTTTTAAACAAATTTCCTCAAAGCAAAGTACTGATAGAAGAGTTGTAAATGCAAATCATTACTGTTTGCTGGGTTTTTTGAAAATAAACTCAAATCGACTAAGCTGGTGTTATGCACAAGTTACTCTCTGGCTTTTGTTCAGCTCAAGTAGTTTATGATCAATCAATCAATCCTTTTGTTTCGGTACTCTGACATAAAAACAAAACAGCACAAAAAGTAGATGGACAAACAAAATGCAGAAATACCTGGATAGGGGGCAGAACTTGAAAAAAAGGGAAAAAAACGTAAACGTACGCACACGCCCACCACAAAAAAAGCATAAATAAGTTTCATAGTGATAATTAAGAACTAAGGGATATTCGTAATGGCACAGAAAATACAAATCAAAATTACTCGCTGGGAAGAAATTTCTTCCCGTTTGGGAAATGTTGGTATGACTTGTTTAGATGGAAGAGGATAAACACAAATGAAGGCAAAGATTCACCTTTCACACCCAAGTCTACCAGCTTAGTACCAGGCTGCGTATCTTCTCGTACTGATGTTGTATATTTCTTTTGATCCCATGTCGGTATTTCATCATTCATATCTGCTATCATAATGTCAAACGTCACATCTGTGAAAGCTCGGGTTCCGATCTCTATGGCCTGTGATAGCAAAAATATTTTAAACTCAAGTTAAACATCGACGGCTGCACATCCATGAAAGTTGAAAAATGAATTTATACCAAGTAGGAAAAATAGTACCTTCAGACATAAAATTATTTAGTTCAATTTTTGTCAAAGACTATAAAACTCGCTCCAAACAAACATACAAAATATGAAAATATCTCAAGATTCAGACTTGACTCTGAACAAATACATACAGGGCAATTCTTTATTCTAATATAAATACCAGTCCAATATTATACAGGCAAACATGTATGCGTAGGCAAGCAAATTGTTGTTAAAACGAAAGGGAAAGTATGCTATGCGAGTGATTTTAATCAATTTCAACAGAATTGAATGAACAGTAATATATATGTGACAGGTACAGGTGACTTGTGAACTTTTCTCGAATGCTATTTGTAAAAGAAATAGAATGAAAGCGACCAGCGTATTAGATTTCTTTTCTTCTTTAGTTTATATCAATTTTTCTTAAACTGGCCCCTAAGCCCCACAGCGGCTATGTGAGAGGTCTAAGCCAAGTCCTTCACTCGATATCATTCGTGAGGGCTACATTAATTTGAAGTGAATTACCTGTGAAATTCCCTTGAAAGAACTAATAGAAATGTGACAGAAGCAATACTGGATATTTCCACAGAATAGTCGGGGGCCGCTGGTGTTGGAGAGGATTCGGAAGGTCCACAGCCCCCTGATCATGAAAGTTTGAAAACAGGGTCGGACTCCTCACCTTACACAGCAAGTGTAGCAAAATCTCAAAACAATATGCAAAATATGGGGGTAATACTCACTCTAACTGTCAGAGTGTGAACTCCGCTAAATCCCTCGACATCTCGGTTCAAATTTCTCGCAATCCTTAAGTCACCTCCGACGAGCATGAAGTAGCCGTCATCGTTACCCTTGACGATGTAATACACAATGTCATTTTGATTCTGAGTACCTCTATCGCCATCTACTGCATGAATCTGAAGAATCCTTGAACGCTGCAAAATCAAGTAGTAATCATGTTGAAAATTTATCACTTTATTCAAGGGAGAGAATAGTTGGTAAAATAGCATATCAACATGGTAAGTGGGCTGTGGCTGGTCTAGCTACTTGTGTGACTAGGCAATGCTCTTGAATTCATGAACTTAGATAAGATTCCTTGTTGAAGCAAATACAAAAGGAAAGATGATGTGATGGAACAAGAATGAGATACTGAAGAGTTTGTATTTATCCCCGGCGTGCAAGTAAACAACGATCCTAGTCCTGTATTAGATATTTGATTTTTCAGTTTAGTGTTCTACCCACATGACCATAGATGATGGGTGAAGCCATCGTCAAAGATTGCATATGATTGACAGAAAGTTGGAAGAAATAATATTTTCACAGGAGAGTCAATAAGATTGAATAATATGGCAGCGCTTGTCAGATTTCCGGTCCATGTGAGGCAATACCGATCTGGATTTCATGGCTTTTTTTAAAGAGAAATCAAACGTGCAATCAGAAATTCATGCAAGCAAATCAGAATTCCTGGCGTGCAACTATAGCTCATGGCGTGTAAAACAACTGCGCCTGCGTACAACTGACTTTGACTTTAGATACTGTTCAGTACATCCGCGTAAAATTACCAGTATTTGATGAAAAAATGCGTTGAATTAGAGCAAAATGGACGTTTGACCTATGACTCCAAATATTATTTTTATAACTTGTGACTAATTCTGAGAGTGTTTTTTGGGAGTTTCGATACCGGTACTGTTAAATACATCCGTGTAAAATTATTGTATAGAAATACGCTGAATCAGAGCCGTAACTGACCGTCGTCGACTAGTCTGGCGATCTTTTCGCCCCTAACTATTCTCACAAAATTTCCTATCATTCAACATGATGCGCCATATTGCTAAGCAATTTGAAATATTGTATCTTTGCTTCACATTCTTCGATCAGGCTAAACCTTGCAAACTAGTATGTAGTCGGCAATTGCTTAAATTAGTTGGCATCTTTATATTACTGAATTATTGATTTTTTATTGGTGAGCAAATGCGAATTTTCGGTGTGCAGAATTGAATTCGCTCGCGTGCATTTTGCAAAGCGCTAACGCCCTCGGGCGTGCACCTGCCATGGAATCCAGTCTGGGGGTAATCTGGCAATGGAATAATTACTGAATTAGCCAGATATTTGTTTCGGAAGCATGAACTTGATGGTGGTGGAAGCTGTAGGCGACCAGCAGTTAAGTGGACCTCCATGCGGCCGCGAGGAGTCCAGCAATCTTCTCACAAATACGATAACATTTCCCGCACGGGATTTGAACCTGTGAATCCACGTAGGGTCATCAGAGGTGCGGTGGTGAGCGTATTTCCCAGACTGGATTCCATGGCAGATGCACGCCCGAGGGCGCTAGCGCTCCACAAAAATGCACGCGAGCGAATTCAATTTTGCACGCCGAAAATTTGCAATTGCTCACCAATGTAAATCGGTTTAAATAGTTTTTAAATCAATAATCTAGTAATATAAAGATGCCAAAAAATTATAACTTTACGATTGTCGACTAATAATTGCTTGCAAGATTTGGCCTGATCGAAAAATGCAAGCAAAAAACACCATATCGTGTTGAATGATAGGAATCCCGTGAGAAAAATCGCCTCCTCACTGACGCTGGCCAGTTATGGCTCTGATTCAGCGTATTTTTAATACAATAATTTTACACGGATGTACTGAACAGTACCGGTATCTAAAGTCGCACAAATACTCTCAAAATTAGCGACAAATTATAGAAATGATGTTTGGGGGTCAAAGGTCAAACGTCCATTTTTGCTATGATTCAACTTATTTTTTATCCAATACTGGTAATTTTACGCGAATGTATTGAGAGGTATCTTAGGTCGAAATCAGTTTAGCGGGATAAGTTGTTTTGCACGCCGTGAACTATAATTGCACGCCAGAAATTCTTATTTGCATGCGGGAATTTCTGATTGCACGCCCGATTTCTCGTTCGAAAAGGCCATGAAATCCAGACTGGCGTATTTCTAATGCAGTAATGCTTAACAAAATCAACATATCTCAGGGTTAAGTTGTATTATAGGTTTTCCTCTAATTCCCCAGATAATCATGAAAATATATTTCTCTATCCCTACATCTGTATCTGAGTGTTTTGTAATACGAAAATAGATCTCTCCATCCAGCTATCCCCATATCCAGATATCTGTAAATAAAGCCATGTACAGATGTAATGTTTAACTGATGAATTGACATCTGCGCCAACATCGCCACGTGCCCAATCTGACCGACAGTAACCTTGGCATTTGTTTACTAAACAAACTAACGTCATATCATTCAACCAATGCTATTGCAAAGCTGCATTCATTTATGACGGAACAAAGTAATTCCTTACACTCTTAACAGCTGATTATAAACCACGTGCTTGACTGTAGATTTTGTTTACAAAAAAAGTTACTTGAAATTACGATGCAATAATATATAATACTCTGTGAATGACCGACCTGTGGTCAATGGAAAAGGTCTTGTCTGGGTATTATTCGCGTTGACTGTATTAATTTCAACTTCAGTTTACCAATGCATTTATTTTGTTGCTTTCGTCTCTTGACTTTATTTCATTGTTTAAACATGGAAAGAACATCAACTGATGAAAATGGATTGATGAAGATAATTTTTATTGAAGAGTAGGGAGGGGGTCTGCTGAGAGTCTCTGAAGCCGAGTACGGGAATTGTTAACAAATTATTTGCCTCAGATCCACGGAATTTTTAACCAGTGAAATCGCAGAGAAGCCCTGTAACTGGGCAGCCGCGTGGTTTTCCTAAACGTTTCAGCGTCCTTGACTTGAACAGATATGACAGAATCCCATCTTGCACAAATTATTTAGCTTTGCAGATATGTTATCGAATTTTGGATGCATATTTCAACAAATGTTTACAAATAGGGAGGAAATGTTATCGGCGCGGGGGTGTGGCTCATTGTGTTAAAGCGTTAGGAATACGCTCGAGGTTCGAATCCCATGCGAGGATAGTTATGTGCGAGAAGATTGCTGAACTCCTCGCCACCGTTGGGTGGTACCCGACATGGAATGTCTCGTAGTTCGCCATATGGTTAAGCCGTCTTATCGGCTTTCCTCTTCCCCGGGCGAAATATGTAAATCCTATCCTATTCTCTCAATATTCGAGCATGCTTACCATTGGTGTATCCTCTGGTATTGTGATACCATAAGGCAATCCTTGGAACACGGGACTTGTGTCCTGAACGTCTTTCACTCGGATAATGACGGGAACCACAGACGTCAGAGGTCTGGAAACATAAAGGGTTGTAATCAGAAATCATATTATAAAGAAGTAAAATGATACTTAAGGAGGAAGAGAGGGGCGAGATACTAAGAGTGGTTATCGAGCAGCGACATCCGTCACATAAGTCTAACAGTAATAAATAAATTAAAAAATAGTTGTTAAAATAAGTTCACGTCAAGGTAAGTCGAGGTGGCTTGGCCCTGGATACCCAAAAGATGCCCGATCCAAGGAGAAACGGATAACGACTCCGAGCACCGTTGATGATGAGTATTCGTGATTGTTAATTAGTTTGCCGATCTTAGATAGTTAGTTAACACCTTGGGCTTAACTATATAAGCGTTATAGATTTGACAACTGAGATACAATTTTCAGGCCACCGTCTAACCCAGGTTATAGCAAATTGGTTAAGCATTGCCGAGGCGAACCGTCCAGAAAATAATACCTCGCTAGATATAAGTGGATGTACAGGGTGGACGGCGTTGTTGCGTTTTTCTTGCAAGTTTCATAACTCTTTGCTGGTATTACACATGCAGCATGCATTGTACGTGTAAGTGTTTATTTCGATTTTCCGTTTCAACAAAACAATACATGACAAAACAAACAAATGTACGGAAAATCAGGAAAGTAGGCAAAATCTAAAAAAGATTTAAGACGTGCTGATGCACGTGCCCACTTGCCCCAAACAGCAAACAACACGATTGAAATAAAAAAAAATACAACGTCGGCCTTAAAATTATTAAAAATATTTTCTTTTACGTTCTTCTTTAATAATTCATAACTTGATGGGGCACCGACAGCACATTGCGGGACACTTTGTGGCCCGGGGGGTTGCAGGTTCATAATCTTACAACAATAAGAAAGCAAATAAGAAGAATTAGCAAAAAATGTATTTGTGACGTCACAAATGTATTTGAACATTGCATTTTTATTTCAAAAACCGAAATATAAGAAAACTAGGAAAGCAAGCAAAATGGTGAACGGATTAATTTCGATTTGTACCTCGAGGGGAACGGAAGTGTTGTCAAATGACGACACGTGCAGAAATGACGTAATTAGAAACGAAAAAAACATTAGAAAAACACAACCTGATGAGTTAGTAGTCAGATATTCCAGTTTTGAAGCGAACAAATTCGGGGAAACGGATAAGACATCTGGTAAATATAGCATTGCTTGGTTGTACAAAGCCTTTTTTGGAGAGAAAATCAGTGCCTTGCCTAAGGAACACATTTGCTATCGTACCCCTGGTGGCTCTCCCGATGTGTGAATACCAGCTTAGGTCCTTATTTTAGTTCTATTACAAGTTCGGGGACTGTCTGTGTCCCTGTCCATAGGTTTCAGCCCCTTATACAAATTGATTTATAGTAGACGAACGAAATTAGTCACTTCCCTGTTGGTGCACACATTTCTGGAACCCGTGGCGATTAATTGTGTGAGAAAGGATTGCTGGACTTTCTTTACCTTTGGAATTTGAAATTTGAAAATATGGGCCTAGTCATGGTTTGATCTCAACCTGACCCCGGAAACAGGGAAACTAGGAATTGCAGCACAAATACTCTTATATTACGACTAGATTATTCTGACTAGTTACGGCTGAATAATTTCTGCAAATGGTGCAATCGCAATAAAGTTATTAAACAGGTAATAAAATATATATGTTTGTTTCACAAAGCGATTTAGTGTAAATATAACAAACAAAAAAGCGAAAAATGGCAGAATCGACTCTATTGAACTAGGATAAAAATATTCTGGCCAGTCACGGCTCAATGGTTTTCATGAGTCAGACTTGAAGTAAAATCACTCAGACTCATATGTTCATTTTCGCCAGGAAATTCAGAATCTTCTCGGCACTTAAAAGACGAACTTGGAATCCTGAGACTAAAAGGCGGTGAGACGGTTACATTTCATTGTAGGAAGAGAACCAATCAGAATGAGGATGAAAAAACGCAGGAAATTCAAACTTCAATATTAACGAATAAGGAAAGAGAAATAGAAAAAAGTAAGCTCCAATCAAACAATAAGCCCACCGAAATAAACGGACATAAAATTCAAACTTCATTATCACCCAATAAAGATACAAAAGTAGAGAAAACTGAATCTCAACTGCCCGATCAGACCAATCAAGAAAGAAAGACATATGAGCGGGAAATTCAAGTTTCTGAAAAACAGCAGACAACAAGACCGCATCACAAGAGACCAGACAAAGAGAGATATGTAACATTGTTACGCAACAGAATGATGGACGTTGTTAAGGAGATACAAAGAGACATAAATAGCGTCGAAAAATCAGGTAACGATCATTTCTGGCCAAGAACCAAATAGTTTGAAGCAGAGGCGTATCTACGTGAAATGGCGCCCATGGCAAAGTCTAAAATGCGCCTCTTGATAGTTGTTTGACAATTTATATTGACTACTATTGAATTGAGATATTTGTACGTTATTATTTGTTCCAGTTTCAGTCATTCCCAATTTGAAACTATTTTATTGAAACCTTTTATGTCCAATACTTTTCGTCGTTTTTGCGCCCTGGTTCAAACGGCGCCCATGGTACGAGCCATGGCTGCCACACCCTAGATACGCCACTGGTTTGATGCATTTTGCCACTTTCATTCCAAACAAGACTGTCCGAGGAATTTCGATTTCTGACTTTGGGGAGCGTGGAAATACGATTCCGACTCTAATGATAACCTGCCGAACAGTGTTCCCTCTAATAAAAATTATACTGAGCCAATGTTTGTTTTACTGCGAATGAATATATTAACGCTGAGCAGAGTCTATGTGAAATATATTATAAGTAGTTATTAAGTAGTAGTTATTAACAGTATAATATATTATCAGAATCCGAACGAAGTGCACACTTAATTTAGAAATATGAGACATTCTAGCTATAGCTAGGCTTCAGAAAATATAACGAGCCATGCTTTGAAACCAATGTTACGATCGCGCGAGATTCAAATTTTACTGCACAAATGGTCTGGTGGTACTGCGCAATGCGCAATTGCGCACCTTGGTGGGAACATTGCTGCCGAACCCTAGACCTCCAGCCTTGCTTTGGACCAAGAATGACTGCAGTCGCCACTTGATTCATCCAGAGTGCTTTCATTCACATTTGCGTATTTTCAGGAACCAAAGACACCGATCACTTTAGTAACTCTTCAACGAAGTATAAAATCCGACCTCACACTGTGGGTACATCTGGGGCCGCGGAGAGAGAGCAGACAGGTGAGGGTGTAGTTTAAACAGAAGTGTGCAACCATTAATACAGAAAAATCAGATACAAATAACCGGGTGGAGCCTCGGGACACACCTTTATTTAGTTGCAGACACTTTTTGGTATTGATCTTATGCTAATATTATGGGTTCTTGTAGAAATGATGAGTTACGCGTTATTTCTGATGAAAACTGCCATTCAAATTCATTGTCACGCCGACTTTAATGGAATTCAGTGCAAAACACGTTTCTATGACATCGTGTATTTTGCTAATATGATAGGCGTACTCAGTTATAGGCTTTGCGACGCATAGGGATTGGAATTGCTTGCACGTACCAGATTAAACTAATGTGATGTTGGAAAAACACAACTGTCGCTGTTTGTTGAATCGAATTTGATATACTTTCAGTGAGGCCTTGCACTCATGAAGGAATTGGACGTGAGCTCACTATGACGTCATTCAGAGATAGTCTGACGTCACACGAAGCTAACGAACTAAAACAACTACTGGGTGAAATTTTAAAGAAAAAATTACGGGAAGGTGGATGGTCAAGAGAAGGGAGCATCAGGGTAAGAGATTCTAGTCATAAAGAACACGATTCGAATCATGGGAGTTCGGAAAGTATTTTCTTCAAATCAAAACAGTTTTAACTCTAAAAAAGAAATGGACTTTCCAAAATATATGTTTTATATATATAGGGTGTCCATAAAGTCTTAAGTTTTCGTAAAATTGCAAAGAAAACTTACCGAAATCATATATCGTTTTAGCACGCACAGATATATTAAATGAAGTGAAAATACTAAAACAATTACTGATTTAAAAAACAACAAACCTGGTTAAGATATATGACTAAAACTGCCTAAAAAAACTGATATTGAAAAGCGACTTCATGGAAACTCTGTATGTAAAATATGTAAATAAGTAAATTCCCATTTTTATAAGGCATTGCGCAAACAAGTACTGATCCTAAGCAGCTGTTATTCTCAAAGAATCCTTCTGATCCGACTTTGACAACGCCATCCATCCTGTATCTGCAAGCACAGGAAATGAGTGATACGATGCCTTTTCTGCTATTTTGGAAGGCATTTTACACCTTCGCTCGGAATAAGGCATTGTACAAGCAGTTACTGATATGTAACGACCTGCTTTTTTACTATTTATGTGATACTGATCTTTTTTTGATGCGATGTGCAATATATTTTGCTATTAACTATATCTGTCCGAAGTCCATATTTAAATAAAAAACTTTCTGAAAAATCGATGTAACAGTCACGTGACTCAAGTCAAGTAACTGCTTTGAAAGGAAGTCAACAATCTTCAGTGACGTCACCAAAGCGTCATAACCGTCGAAAAGAAAGGCCCTCAACAAGATGCACAAACACGACTCGAAGTACAAAGGTAATTTTTGCCTCCGCTCAGAGCGAGGATTTAGACAAGCCGATACTTGGAAGAAACTTTCAAGATTTTTAACGCCCTTCACTCCGAGCAATGAACTGTATAAGCCAGGGTGGTCCAAGGTTGTCGGCTCCGCGGGCCACAAAATTGTTTTTGCATTGTTCGCGGGCCACAATACCGCCAAGAATAGGTAAGCAGTGCAATACAAAACAAACAGCTTTATTGTGCAAACACATAGTTATAAGGCATAGCCATTCTAGGCTAATAGAATACGCATTCGATTTTTAATTTTCTATGATGCCTATATTGTTTGCATATACTCCCGACCAAAAAGTAAAAAAGCCACAAAACAATTTAGACCACCAAGCACATCATTCAACTTCGCTAGTTTCCCCAGCTATCCATAACACTATTTAATTCAGTGACATAAATGATGACAATACGTCAAAAGATTTTTCTGATTAATTTTATGACGAAACAACACGAAATGCGATTTTTCGATTACTCTACGAATGTGATGCGGGCCACAGATAATGAAGCGGCGGGCCACATGTGGCCCGCGGGCCTGGGTTTGGACCATCCTGGTATAAGCTCTCACAGATATATAAAGATCCACTAATCAAATTTATTCTAAGTATTTTGACAGTCATTCCCGTTTTCCTAATTCTCAAAACATTAACACTAGGACCGCCTTATTTTCCGGAAGTACCTTTAATGACGGTTAACGCTTCGTTCCGCCGTCCGCCGTGTTTGGAGTAAAATGCGTATCAATAGTCGAATAAAAATCTGCCGGCTATAGGCTCGCACGCTGGTCCGTACCTACGGAAGAAAATACGTGCAAAAGGATTACTGTTCTTCTCGCCGTCTCAGTGTAACCGGGCGGATTTCAAATACTCATCGAATTCCCCCTTCCTCGAGTTATCATAGAATAATATTCCTTATCAGCTCTCTTATTCCTTCCTGCAGGCGGATTCTTCGGCATTTAATGAGCGATGTCTCGAACTTTTGAAAGACAAATTGAAAGAAAGCGCGGCAAAAGTGGTCAGAGAACGCCATGATGACGTCATCGATGCTGGAGATACTAGTAACATCACATGCGAACGAGGGGTACGTCAAAATGATAGGCTAATAAAGGGTTGTGATTTAAAATTAAGTGGCCACATCATATATAGTCAAATGACGTATAACAATACTCACGTAAACAAAGCGAAGTAAATTTTATTTAGAAAACAAATGAATTTTAAATGGAATTTTAATTTCATACAACTGTGATGTCATAATATATAAAGTAAACTGACGTATAAAATCAATTACAAATTAAATTTATAATCACATGAAATCAGACTACGTCATTGATTTCCGCGTCATGATATTGTGACGTCATGCTATTATGACATAATTCTTCATTCCTCAAGCATATGAAAGTGTTATACAACCATGAGAACACGCGACCAAGACTCCGACTTTTCGCGCTGGGAAATTCAAGCAGAAACTCGACCGCTGATTGGATAATGAAACAAAACTTTGACCACTACAAGCAAGATTGTGACGCCAGAAAGAATCAGGAAAAATCAGAAAATTCGGTATAGAGTTATTTGACTGAGTGAATAAAACCGAATGGTTTGATCAATCTAGTGGTGGTCTTAAGTTTCAGGTTGGTGTTAGTTTTGGCGTTAATTTGCTCTTGAGTTTGGCGTTATCAACATCAACATGATAATTACTGCGGCATAAACGAGAAATGCTCTTTGAGTTTTGCCCGAATATTTGACTTCGTTCATTCTCATCCAGAAGTCCAAAGTTCCGAATCCGACTTCGAAGAATTGGACTCCGATCCCGAGACTACGGCTCTACAGCTCTGATTTTATTTGTCGAGAAACACGTCACCACATTAAATTAACTTCATTTACGTTCCATCCACGTACTTGCAACGTGTTTTTAAATAGGATCAGCGTGTTTATGTTAGTAAATACCGATGTTCGTGTGAGTGCAATTGTGAAATTAGCTTTGTAACCTCAAAAAGATTTGAGCTTGAATTAAAGAAAAAACAAACTCACTTTGCACGATCCTGGTCCATCGCGATGACCTTGAACTGATACATCACGGTGTCTTCAAAGTCAAGTCTTCTGCGCAGGCGCAGTGAGCCCGTTGATGGGTCCAGGGAGAAAGGAAGGTTGTGCACCTTCAAATGAAATTGAGTAAATAAGTATATTTTCGATGACGTTAAGATAACATGTTTTTATGAGTCGTGTTCACTCGGACAAGGATCTGTAAAGTGGCCACTGACATACATAGTTCTAATTTTGGAAGTCTTGAATCATATCGATCAAGGATTCCTAATTTGTTACGCCATGAGGTGGCCGGCACAGAATTTCCAGTTTCTTACGAATCAATAGCAAGTTTTTATATAGACTTTATTCACGCCAAAAAGACATGTACGAGTAGCCTTTGCTATCTCAAGTTATGAAAGGAGTTAATAAAACCAAACTTGTCGACTTTTTTAAACCCTGGGTGAGGTGAAGTAGTATTCAACCCCGGATTGTACAGACCGCGATGTTTCTAACGCTTCAACCCCTCGTCCGTTGTTGTTGTTGTTGTTGTTAGGGAATAGGTGTACAGTTCATACATCTGTTTACTCATGAATCTATTCATGGCTGCTTGCTCGGATTTCTGAAAACAGCTAATGCAAATTAAAGACATCTCACCTTTTCCAAGTAATATTTTACAATCCCACCAGGACCAGTGTCAGGGTCAGAAGCGTTGACGACAAGAACTTCAGCCCCGACATGATGATCCTCTGTCACTTCGGTTTCGAACGGGAAACGTTCAAAGATCGGGGCGTTGTCATTCTCGTCTATAACTGTGATTTCCGCCTCTTGTTCGTCCTGAAAATATAGAGATTTTTTACTCCCGTAGTGTGTGTAGCAGGTCAGGGTAGGCCATAATTTTAATAAGATTTTCTTCATTTTAGTTCTATTACGAGTTCTATGTCTGTGTTAGCCAATTGAATATACCCCCTGCCCATACGTTTCAGTCCCTTAACACAACTTGATGTAAAGTAGGCGAACAAAGTTAGTTACCTACACATTGGTACACACACTTCTGAAGCACCGAGATTTTTACTTAATGTTTCACGTATTAAAGTCTGAACTGCGTTATTACAATGCAAATGTATTACTTTACACGTGACTTCATAATCGTCTGTGATATCAGTAATCGTATATATGACGTCGTTATACAAAAAGGCGCGAAAACATTGTTTTAGGACGCGGGAATGGTAGCTACGACAGTCACGTTCACATCGCTAGCGATAATTAATTTTGACGGTGATAATATTCTTATACAGTGTTCTTAAAACTTTTTTCACCATGGCCCACTTGGCACGAACAATTTTTTTGCGAACCCCAGGATCTAAAATAAAGAAATGTGAAACTTTATACTGCAGAAAATAATAAAAAATCAAATAAAACTGACACTACTTTCAAGGAGACCGATGTGCTTGCTTATTTGCACACAAAAGATCAAATCTTGGCTCTGTTTCGTTGATGGTGAGTACTGATTCCGACTGTTTCGAATTTAATCGATTTTTGTTTTACCATAAGTTAGTGTCGGAAAAGATTTTACCGCGATCCCTTTCCCAGTTTGAAGAGCCATATTCTAAAATACTCTCGATACGAAAATATTCCGGTCTGCCAAAATACTAGCACTATACGTATCAGTTACTGCTTGTTTGATCCCTTGCTCGGAGTAAAAGTTTGGAAATGTGTCTTAAATAAAAAGGTCACTCACTACGTATTAGCTCAGATTTATCGATGTGCACGCATGAATGAGATAATAACATTATTTTCTGCAAATGAGGCGAATTTCTCAAATTAAGTCATCAAATATCGATCTTATGCATCCCATTATTCCATCACAATTCCCTCGAGTAAAAGCGCGGGAGTTTATTTATGGATTAATTCATCTGCCACTATGATGTCATAATACAGTTTTTGGGACACATATGATTGAACAACGCTGTAACAGTCAAGTGAGACTAACCCAGTAACCCAGGGTGTGTTCAAATTGAGTAGGAAACCTGAACCGTGATATTTCATGTTATTCTGAAATACATAAGTGATTCAATAGTCTTATGTCTGCACACTAACACAAATATATTTTTGCAACGTTTCGTCTGACCAAGGCCAGACTTCCTCAGACATACATAGTCAGATAGTTATCTTTACTCTTGCTACAGCATCCATGCATTATATGAATACGGATCCACCGGCGCAAAAGCATAGAAGACGGAGAAGTAGTCAGTCTTGTAGGAACCTAATCGATATATTAAAACATCTAATAAAAAATATAATCCGCGGATAGAAGTTTGAGCGGACGATTGTTTTCTTTTAAATTTCGACAATTTTACCACAAAGTTGAAGCGTATAATCATGTCGTCTGGATGGAATTCCCTTGAGCGGCGGGGTTTTACAAAAAAGTCATAGGTTGTGGTTTATAAGTGCTCGGGTCGAAGGGGAGATGAATAAATTAATTATAAAGCCAAAAACTCAGACAAACATATCGGCGGCGCTTCAGAAGTATGTATAACAATATGGAGGTAACTAATTTAGTTCGCCTACTTTACATCATGTTGTGTGAAGGGACTGAAACCTATGGGCAGGGGGTATATTCACTAGGATAATACAAACAGTCCCCGAACTCGTAATAGAACTAAAATAAAGAAATCGGAATTAATTATGCCCAAACCCTAACCACATTCTACGGGAGTACCCATATTTCAACGGGGACTATTCCAACTATGACATAATAATGCAACGATGTTGTAGCAAAAGTGAAGATGACTATTGCAAGTGATACAAGAGTCATACTGCACACCAGCATAAATATATTTCTGCGCGGTCGACTACGTTACCTTCTAGGCGTTTGCACTGGTGAACCCGCACGCGTAAAATACAACAACACTGTAGCAAGCGCGAAGATGTCTGTTCTAAGTGATACAAGCGTCTGGCTGCTTCAATGCGTATCAATGTCACGTATGATCTAGCCCAGGGGTTCCTAAACTTTTTTTTTCCCAATCTACTCATCGGTCGTTGATTATAAAATTTATTCATCGTCAAAACCGCCGTTTTGTCGTTATATTTCAGTGAAGCGTCGCGAACCGGATTATTTTACTCCGTGGGCGGATCTGGCCCGCGGGCCGTAGGTTGCCGATCTCTGGGCTACGCAAACTACCTTACGGTGGGGAGGAGTCCAGCAATCTTCTCGCGTGGGATTATTGCCCACAAGATTCAAACCTGCGAATGCACGCAGAGTACAGTGATCAAGTGCGCCAGCTGCCGAACAAAAATAGGTTTCGCGAAATCACCTCCCTATTGCCCCCTTCGGCGTTTCGCCCCCTTCTGTATCGTTTTCGCCCTTCGGGGAGCGATGTCGCCCACTTTGGGAATCACTGTTCTAGACTTGAATCGCACACAACAGCTTTGCAGTATGCAGATCCACCGACGCAAAAGCATAGACAAATGATAAGGATAGTTAGTCAATACATTTATCTAGTGCGCATTCGAATATCGTTCTTGCATTATACGGATCCACCAGCGCAGGGGCGTAAAAGAGTAAATAGTTATTCCGTGCAAACTTACTATAGGTTGTTCTTTCAGTAAATTCGGAAAACACGGCGAGCGCTTCGAATTAAAAATTCCCGTTGATTATGTTTGTCTGAAATTTTCTGCCCTATCGGCGTATTGTTGATTTTTCAAGTACGTCAAGTTCAACAGACTTGGAGTGTACATCCTCACTCGTACTACCCTGTTTCCCCGAAAATAAGAGAAGGTATTATTTTAATTTCCGTTTGATAACTAACACTAGGGCTTATTTTGGGGAGATGTCTGATATTTTCAGTTAACAAAAACCATATTACAAAGTGGAGAATTACGATACAAAGGAAAAACGACATCCATTTACTTATAAATACACGTTCTAATTCAAAATAATTGCAAAACAAAGATTATCACTCATTTAAAACGTGTAGGTTCTTGCTATCGACTAGGTCCAAAACAATTTCGCGCTATCGACTAGGCCAGCGGTTCCCAAACTATGAGTCGCGACCCACTGGTGGGTCGCAAATAGAATCTTAGTGGGTCGGGAAAAGATGTAGAAAGCTTTGATTAATTATACTGGTTATTAGGATCGGTGGCGACTCGAATACATAAATTTTCAAAAAGACAAAAGAAATCAAATTGAATTTGAAATCTAATCTGTCAAAGTTTTCTTTTTACGATCTCCTCAAAGGAACAAAATTTGCTACACAAAGAATGACCATGTGGCTTTTTACGCATAGCAGTTTTGTACACTGTAAAGCACTTCTTACCGTGTTGCCCCGAAATTTAGACATGATTTAGATTTATTTTCTTTTGAAGAATAACACTATATTTTTTTGGAAGAGGTCTTTTGAGTTCATTTATCAAAAATGAAATTACATTGTAGAAAATCACGAGATTTTTTAATAAACATCATATAAAAACCGACATCCATTGTTTTTATTTGTATTTCCTATACAAAAATCAAGTGACAAATATCATAATTGTGATTGTGACATCACACAATCTCGAATAGTGGTATGATCTTCACCTTACCTCAGGTCATTGAAACTGTCCTCTCCCACACATTTTAAATATATTTTAAGGATAGGGTTTAATTAAAATCATTTTCAAAATTCGAATTAGGTCCTATTATCAGGCCAGATCATATTTTCGAGGAAACACGGTAGTTTTACGATGATTAGCCATTGCTGTATTCTGTGTTATGTCATAAAAATTTAAATGGGTCGCCATAAGCTGTGGTAATAAATAGTGGGTCCCAACTCTGAAAAGTTTGGGAATCACTGGACTAGGCGTTAATGGCTTTCATTAAAATCCCTTTTAAAATTCACACTAGGTCTTATTTCATGCGAGCTCTTATTATTCGGGGAAACACGGTACAACACGCTTGCATCTAGTAACGCAAAAGCTTAGAAAAAAGAAGAAGTAGTAAGTCTCGCGCAACTCTTTTTTTCTGTATATTTTTTCGAAAATACTGCCGAATGCTTGGGATTTCAATTTTGGTGGTTCATCGGTCAATTATGTCTGGTTTACGGCCAAAGCCTTCTGTTTGAAGTTCCCGCCCTATTGGTGTATTAATCATTTTCCGAATACATGAAAATATGTCATGAATACCTTTCAATAATATACCGAGGGGTTTTAACATTCTGAAGACTAATGAATATTTCATGCGTTGAATGACATGGAACATTATCCCGACTACCGCAGCAATGTTGTGGTATATTCACAGCGGCAAAGTAATTTCCGCCCTTGCTATTAGGAACAACAACAATACTCAAAACCGCTTTCCATAACAGAGTTGAACTATCATTAACTAAATATCCTGAGGCATTGGTTCGTTCACATCCAGGGGTCCCGAGAACTTACATTCAAACTCTAGAGTCTATATTAATGTATGTATATTGTTTTAATATAATCAAACATCTATCAGGTTTAGTACTATTATTAAACCTATTACAATTCGAAGATCATTTTGTTTTGCCAATAGGACGTTTGCTTTTTATATTTAAATATACTTTATACAATTCCTTTGACAGCCTTACAAGCACGGGGATTGTTCAAGCCTCTACTGGGGTGGGCAAGGGTTTTAGACCGTAGCCAGAAATTTTGCTCATTAAGACTGGCGGGCCATATAAGTGTGACGGGAAAAGTTACATTTTACGAATAATATTTGCAATATTACAAAGGCAAAAGTGGAAAACAATAAGCACCGTGCCAAAACTAAATTAAATGGTAACAAATTCATTGAGATCTTTTTTGCTGAGACATCAAAATTTGGCTTTACTTTGGTTGTGGCAGCAATTACCCCATGGGCCGAATTTAGCCCACGGGCTGTCAGATCTCTAATCATTTGGCTGCAGGAGAAAGTCTGAATAGCACTGGTATATGAAGGTATTATGGCGTCTCTTGATACAAATCTCGTGTTCAAATCCCACCCCCACCACTTAGTCCGGCGTGTAGGTAGACAATGCCGAAGAGGAATGATAGCTCGTTGGTTACCGAGACTCATTCTATGCAAAGCTTCGCACGAAGCGAGAGTGTGAAAATGACTTATAATATTTAATTCATTTTTAACCCTGCATACCGTCACGCATGACAAAACATGCCCAATATCTTACAAAAATCAAACTTCTTTGAAACATTTAAGTTGGATCCGCTAAAAGTCAACGAGTTGATTAATATTTCATGACGTGAAAGGCAGTTAGAAATACACAGTAAAATGAGTTGAAATTTATAGCAACTTCATTGCCTGACCTATTTGCCAGTACTTAGCGTAACCAAGTTCCATATTATGGGCGTATGGTAGAGTATCGTATGCCTGGCCACCGACCATTTCTTTAGTGTTTGTGGTAGCACCGACACCGATACCTCTACATTGATATTGTATAAATAATAAAACGGCTACATCGAGTGGTTAATTGCTATGAATTCTTAATTTAGAAAAGTCTGATTTAATTGTTTCTCATTTCTTATTGCCTTTGTGTTAGTACTTATGTATGCACTGCAGGGATACTGTAACAAGAATCAAACGGATGTTTTCAGTGGTTTATGGGAGTTACGAGAGTTTCGGGCGTAATCCATTGATGGTGGGGCAGAAATTTAAAATTCGAAGAAATTGGGGCTACGGGCGTAATCAATATCAGTAACAGAGCGTTGCCATGCTGTAAATAAAGCGTGCTTGAAATCAGTATTAGATATTGGAAATTAAAATGTCCACCTGTCTGTGCAAAACATATATAAAGAAATAAATTGCGCACTATAAACAGCTATCACGCAAATACCTGTGTATCAATTTACTCTCGACTAAGTCGACTTTGTATCAAACAATAAGCAATAATATTAAAGAGTATGGATGAATCATTAGGCCGCTCCTCTTAGCAAGTTTTACTCCTAACGTTTATAGACGCGCATGTTGTCTCCGAACAAGGCCATGAAAAAGTGAACACTTAGATGAGCTCATTCAACTTATACAGCCTCTAACCCCTAGCAGTAATTAAACCTCATCATTTTATAGTAATATATTTGCGTGCGTTTGGAATCGATATTAGAAATTGAAATGTTTGTCTGTCTGTCATAGTTAAATCGATAAGTCACCCGGGATATTCAGAAATTAAAATCGAAAATAATTTTTTTGATATCGGCCGAGCGTTTAATTATAATTCAGAAATCGTATCGATAAGGCGCTTTATTCATGTTTGAAATATATAGACCTGATGAAGTCCTGGACAACTTAGTAGTCCACAAAAACATGATAGACAAGCGATTTTAGTTATTTAACAATCGCACTAATTATTCTTGGCACCAGCGTCGGTGCATGACCTATACAAAGTGGATTAGGTGTGTCCAATCTGGGTAGGGATGAAGATAATATTTTTTTAGCTGCTCGGTAAATAGAAAATCACTATTGAAAATCACTTAAAGAGTCTCGCGTGTACAGAAATGCGCTGTCTAAACATATTCGAAATTGTAATAGTTTTTTTCCGCAACGTTCATTCGCTTCTCCAAACAAAACCTTATACAAACTTCCACTGAAATATAACGACACGTAAATGTATTGAAAAGAACCGATCATTCCGGTTCGATATGGCATTGCCCGCTCGATTTGTCACACTCTGGGTAGGGGGTGGCAGGAGAGCATGGAGTTATGGAATCTCAATCTCAATAAACGTCTTTAAACACAAAACATGTCTCACCTCATTGACTCCATCAGAAACGAAGAATTTTGCTCTGTATTTGGTATCCACCTGTGACGACACGATACAAACAATTGAAGTTTTGGAATATATTGTGAAGTGGGTAATTAAATAAATAGAAGATTACCTCATAGTCAAATGTCCTTTGTATTTTCACCACTCCCGTTTTTGCATCGACAGTAAAAAACTTTTTCCCGGTGTGACCTCTGACTCCGTAGGTCAAAAGCCTTCCTTCGGGGTCAGAGCCCGATAATGTGATTTCGTTTCCGGAAAATGAGGAAGCGGGTCGTGAACCTGTCAAAAGAAATAAGGTATTAGGAATAGAACAAATGGTGCTATCCCGATAGTTTTCACGATAGCTTTACTCAAATTCTGTTTATTTCTAACATTTCAAGGTCTACTTTTCACAAAGAAATCAATGAAGCGCGGGGTGGCAGAACTTATTTCATCAGACCGTGAAGGTTTTATTCTAAACAAGGAGTGTTATTTTGTAATCCTTGATCTCCAATGACGCCAACATGATAAACATGATACGATCATAACAAAAGGGAAACATTGATTCGAATCATTTATGAACACTGTTTTCCGTGGCAGAGAAAAGTTAATAAGACGGCTTTATCATATTGAAAAAAGGGTACTCACCTAGTATGTGTACCAGGTTAGGATTTGGCCAAAATTTTATCCCAATTTTCCTTATTTTAGTTCTATTGCGAAGTTGGGCCTTTTTGTGTAAGCCAAATGAATATACTCCCTGGCCATAGTTTTCAGCTCCTTTACACAACTTGATGTAAAGTAGGCAAACAAAATTAGTTACCACCATATTGGTGCACACACTTCTGGAGCGCCTATTGCGCTTGTTACTCTCATTAAGCAATTGTAAATTGTACAAGTAATATACCTTTGCTAAACCGGAAAGATTCCGTTACATACGGAAAGAGCAGCTCCTCGCGTGACCCCGTGTAAAGAGTCTTGTTCGGAGTGAACAATATTCAATTTTTTTTACAAAATAAAGTTAAAACAGCCATACTCACCGACTGGTGCATTCTCTTTTATTACCCAGGACCAAACGTTCATGAAATATGGCGCTCTGTTGGCTTGTGACGACACAAATAAAGTAAGGAAGACAATTGTTGACGCACAATGCGTTATATCCATTGTTGTTTTATCAATTAAAACATACTAATCAAGCGAAGTTTATACGTTTCTGCAATAAACAGAAGAGAAACAATGAAAATGGTGCTTTACAGCTTGAAAACTCACTTGGTTTACTACGGTTTTACATACTGAACTACAAGTCTTTACCTCCTACTCCAAATCAATATGCTTCAGGTGCCACAAGAATGCATTTACTAGTATTATAACGAAAAATAATAATAGCATAATCTCTTTCCACGAGATAAATCCACCAATAATTGCTGTTTGATCAAGCCATATCTTGTTTCATTTAAAAAAAGTTAGACTATTATCTAACGAAAGCTCACAAATATACTTGCTATTTCATGGAGAGAGATTATGTAGGGTGTCCATGAAGTCCTAAAATGCGTGAGGGATTTATCGATACCAAGTATTCTTTGGCCCTCCTCACAGATGTATTGGATGAAGTAAAAATACTTGAACAATTACTGATTAAAAACAACAAACCTGGTTAAGATATATTTAGAACTGACTTCATAACCAAATTGAAATTGTAAAAGGATGGCGATTAGTTTACTTTTGAAGGATTTTCCATGTTTTAGGCGCTATTTGGCGACTTTTTGCGATTTAGAATTACAACAGGCAACCCCTGCAATGCCAATATGTTTTGGCGATTTATCTTGTTTGTATTTCCCAAGTCTCATAGGGCTGCGTCCAATTTGCGTTGCGGAATTATCCACTAGTTATCTGGTAATTTGCATAATCTGATATAAGGTCACTGACCGATCAGTAGGGGGATCAGTCATATGATTTAATTGTGTGAGGTTGAATTTAATGAAAGGGAAAACAGATTCATCACTTTAAACAATAGACCAAAATTCAGCGTCACTATCTGCTAAAGTGTTCCCATGGATTGACATAAACCAGCAAAATTTCAGGTCAGATATCGGAGCAATGGGACTCAAAAGAATTAGAAAATATAAAAGTAAATATTATTAGCGGTTTCTCCGAGTACTGAAATAAATTGGCCGAGTCTATTACTTTATCATAATCAGTAATTTATTTTTTCACCATTCTGAAAGTGCACACTTACAAATTATAATAAGATATATATAAAAAATAGCATTCCAAGGTAAAGGGACGACACGCGGGAAACCAAGAAAAGGTTATCGAGCAAAAACATTCGATATATTCAAACATTCATTCATAAAAAACATTCACACAAACAAAATTTCGATGTTTCAGTTAAAAATAGCTTAAGGAATTTATTGAGATTGCGATTAAATTTAGTAATGGCACCAGGATTTTTGTTTTCCACTTTTGCTTTTGTAACACTGTAAATATTGGTAATCAAATGTGATATTACATTCACATGGCCCGCCAATCTACCCGGGCAAAATCTTTGGCCCTTGATACAAAAACCCTGCCCACGCCTGAATCTAGTCAATACATCTGAGCACTAACGTTTTATTTATTTTGTGAATGATTTGGTCAATGCCTGAACTGCCTTTTTAAATTATACAATCACAGACAATTTGCGCGGAAAATTTAGTGATCGCGATCCTGCTGTGTAATGAAGGGATTAATTCCGTAACAATGCGAATAAATCCAGCTCATTATGATCGAACAAGGAAATATTATTACTTAACAATGCATATTATCCTACTACTTGTGTGGCGTCATATCAGTCATGCATGACAGCATTCCAACAATACGTCATTTAATCAATAACGAGCTCAGTGTGAGGGCATAATGCTTTCCTTCGAAAAATGTTCAAAGGGGCGATTGCTTTCTGTCTTTCTAAGACTTGGTAAATCAGTTAAGAAACTTTAACCCCTAACCGGACAAAATCAACAACAAACGGATTGCAAATTTTGGGTCGTGTTCAAACGACACACATTACATCGCTGAGTCAAATTATATGATAAGCGCAGTAGGAGTGGTATAAAACTGCAAAAAAACTTTGTAAAATTCACTGAGAATTCACTGTATTCAGATGAAATATTAAAATTCACACCTACTGTCACTGTTTATGGTATGTTATTTCACTCAGTATCTATTCTTCTCAGTATCTATCTATTCTATGCACGACTTTTGACAATCTTGTCTAACACCCTCTTGGTGGGCATGATGGAAAATAGTACTTACCATTAATACAACGCAATCGATACTAACGAATTCACAGCCAAGTAACTAAAATTAGAATCAAGTTGGCGACTTTCCAAAACCCGACTAAAATAGGATTTTCACTTATTTATCTTGGTATAGAAAAAGCCGATACGAAGAGGCGGCGGTTCGCCATATAATTATAGGTGCCGTTTTCCCCTCTTCTGGTATAAAAGAGAAAATTTTACTCCATGAATATGTCATCTCCACCAACTTTCCTCTCTCCATATTCATCTACCAAGCCGTCTTATCAGCTTTCCTCTTTCCTGGGATATATACAAATATCCCATTCTTTGATTTGGTCGGCTTTCTCTCCCCCCAAGGTAAATACAAAAATGCTATTCATGACATATACTTTGTTTTTGCGACGCTTATAACAAAAAGTTCACGATCACGTGATAATTTGATTGCATGTTATTGGTTGCTTTCTCGAAAGAGATACAGCTAAAATGCCACACATATTGACACGAACAACAGATGTGACAGATAAAATCATTCTTATCTGCCTTCTAATCAGTCCTTGATAAATCTAAAAGTATTATTAAAGCGAAACCGCCGACCATGAATGCCTTCTAGAGATGCGATGACAGACAACATACAGACAAGGCGTTTCAAAAAAATAGAGATGCGTTTGAATTGTATGTATAAGACTGCTTACGCAACAGATGATGCCTGTTAATTAAGAACCTTGTTTGGCGCGATCGCGAGCAAGTTCAATGCGCTCGGAAAATTCCCAATAGTCAAAATAGATTTTTAATGACACAGCATTTACACCTGAACACATATTGCGGAAATCAGCATGGAAACTTGACTATTACTTTAATATTTCAAACGTAACTGTTTATCCTGGCATTAACTTATTTTGAAATTAACACGACTCATTCAAATGCTCTATTACGAAGGATAATAATGAGTTAAAATAACTAACAGTTGAGGAAGCGTGAAACTAACTACCTTTCCTTGCTCTATGCCTTTGCGCAAGTGGATCCGTATGCGTTTTACGCAAGGATGCTATAGCAAGAGTGAAAATGGCTACTCTATTTAATTCAAGAGTCTTTCTGTAACGTTTTGTCTGACCAAGGTCAGACTTCTTCAGACAAGCATTTTACAACTATCAAAAACTACTATCTCGCTTAAACGATCGAAACCAGAAAACGCGCCGCAGTTCAGTAAAACGTTATAATTAAACTTTACCTTCGCATCAAGGGAGAAGCGGACGTTATAGTTTGCAATCCCAATGCTACTCATCATCAGCAAGTACTGACCCAACAACTAGGACGGCCATAACATGTAATAAAGATCAAAATTCTAGGAACGGATTCTCGTTTGTATCGAATCCACAAACAACAGGTTCTCATTCAATCGAACTCAATAATAACGGGTTCTCTTTGGTTCCGAATTCAAAAACAACAATTCCGTCATTTCGAAAAATTTATGTTTGTCACTACGTAAATAACACGACACACCTTACATAAATATTATACATAACTTTGAACAGGGATGAGAAATAGAACTTTAGGAACGGGATCGCCTTTGTACCCAATTTATGAACAACAGGTTCCGTCATTTCAGAAGTTATATATGTTCGACACTACGCAAGCCTAATGACTAAAACAAAACAAAAAAAACAAGCACGGGTTTGCTGAGTATCAAGACATTCCAAAACAAGCGAACAACCTCTTAATTCCACCACTGCAGAACCTAAAATTCGTCTAACTACTGAATTTATTTTCGAAATATTTCCATTCGACTTTTTGCATCAAATTTTCATTTATGCTAAATTTAGTATGAAAATTTTTGAGTGGAAATGTCCACAAAGTCTTAATTTTTTTTTTTATAATTGTAAAGAAAATTTATCGATTTATTTATATATTGTTTTGACCTTTGGCCCTCACAGATATATTGAAAAAACAATAAAATCTGAAGAAGTACTGAATAAAAAACAACAAACCTGGTTAAGATATATTGAGAACTGACTTCATAACATAACAAAATTTAAATTGCCCCAAGTTTCTCTGCTTAATCTAACTATTTTTGAACTAAGATAAACATAATGTAAGAAAACACAGCGGACATTTATAACAAGATTGTACTCGACTTGCTTTTCAACTAATTTCTATGCAAACCCGACTCTACGCTACTGGCAAAGCTAATGAGGCTTCTAACAGACGTCACAATTCTTCTGATATAACAATCAATATTTTCGACTTCTCTCTGTGACGAAACATAAGAAACCTATTATGCGAATTGATCGTCTGCAAACCTAGTTTTAATTGTTCGTTAACAATAAGGATGTCATCCTATGCTCATTAAAATAACATCTGCCGTATTTACTGATATCGGGAAATATCACGCTTATTGATGGGACTGATTTATATTTTCAAAACTATCCATTTCGAATATAGCTCAACTGATAAGTGTGTAAAAGGTAGGGCCGCCTAATTAGGGAAATAAAGCACATACTATGGGCCTCTTGACTAAAAAAGGTTAAAATAATACATAACTGGTTTATATTGAGAACCGGCTACACAACAAAATTGAAATTGTAACAATACTTTATGAATATTCTGTATATTTACATCTAGCGACGCCATTGCAAAAGTTTACAAAATTGACTTTTTCACGGCGAGCGAATTTCGGCGTTTTGTGCCGGCATCGATTTCCTGTAATGAGATTAAAAATTGAGTAAAAGCCAAGAGTTACGTCACTGGCAAAGGATAATTTTTGTTTTGTAAAATCTCGTGTGGGTTTCGCTTGTAATTTAATTAAATTGATGCTTGAAATAGTATTTTGCGAACTTCAGCCATCACTGTCGACATAGTAAGGGGATGCGAATGCCGCAGACTGGGTTGCTACTATTTGCGACTCGACCATAGTGGTTCAAAAA